ACAAGACCAATGTTAAGACCAGATCAACCCGTAGATGGTTTAGCTCTTGGAGAGGGACTAGATGTATTTTTCCGGCCTACAACACCAACTACACCACTTATATCACCTACAAGTGATGATAGGTATTATAAATAAAAAGAAATATATATATATATATATATATATCTTTAATAATCATCAATTTGCTTTTGTAATTTAAAAATATTGTATATGTTTAGTTCTTTACATACGTTTCCAACGGATGGAAGTCCAAATTTATCTCTGGCGAGTCATAAAAGTATACCACCTGATCTAGATAAAAAGCATGGATGTAACTCACCGATGTTAAAAACGTTACTTGAACCAACACCACGTTCAAGGTCTAGCGATAATTTAGAAAAATTTTCTCCTCTCGTTGGAAGACGTTCACAAGGTGATTCACCATTAACCGCATCTCCTCTGGCTCGACGAAATACGACAGATAATGCTCAGGGACATGAGAGAGTAATGTCCAGATGTGATAGTAGTAAGGATACATATAATAACAGTATTATGAGTACTTCCGTTGATTCTTCCAAACGTAATACCTTACCAAATATTGGATCAATCCCAACCTCTCGTAATTCTCGAGAATCAGAAGACTGTGGGAAAATATTACAATTACAAAATAATATGAATTCGTCATCGGACAAAGATAGATCTAGCGTACAAGCAATGTCTTCTGTTAAACTACGTTCAACTGGTTTTGATCTACGAAGTCCAACCAATGGTAGCAACACCAAAAATTCATCGGAATCGTCTAAGTCACCGATATTAAAATCTGTTGTTAAAGGAAATAATTCTAGCAGCGATGGAAAAAATAATGGTGCTCTTTTAAAAAATAAACCTATTCCTCCTGCTACAGCACCAAAGCCACGTCCTTGGAGCATGGCTGCTGATAGGAAATCTGGTAAATTTATTAACATTTTTATATTAATCTTTATTCACTTTTTATCTAGATAGAAAAATAATCAGACAAATTTATTCCAATAATTTAAATATTAATAATCGTAGGTGAATTTAGCTTATTGAGTGATGGGTCGAGTCCAAATACGTCTGCAGGAAATACACCTGACTCCGGTGATGCTCTCGACGAATCAACTGATAGTGGTGTTAGCGGTCCGGCATCATTACCACCTACATTATCAGCAAGTAGTACAGCAAGTTCACTGAGCAATACAAGTGTAGAAAAAAGATCGGTCAGAGAATTGGCAGCTAGTTTAAATAAAGGAAAGCCTGACAAAAAGGAAAATGGTAAAATCAAACATTTTCATAAGATGCATGATCGTTCGGTGTATTGTAACCCTGCATACACTGCTCGATTCGAACATCACTGTTAACCATTATGAAATATTCATTTTTTTTTTACAAGCTTTAAAATAGTTTGGAAATGCATGAAAAGCCTTAAAATTCATGAGCCTTGCTGTATATATTATTTTAGAGCATAGCACACCTGCACCATGGAGGTCGGTGCTTCAACGTTCTGCTGACCGACCAGTTACCAAGGTACTTTACGACATTTATTTCTTTCTTTTTCTATTTTACTGAAGAAAGAAGACAGCTGTATATATTAAAATGTATTTAGTAATGCCTTGTAATACTGATCATTCCTTAAACAATCCTTCAAGCTTCGATTTCTAATTATGCCTGTATCGTATATTTAATGTAACTTTTAATCTTTTTTTTTTTTTAACTTTGCCTTGAAATTCTCTGCTTTTCTTTTGTTTATCGTATCAAAATGTATATAGAAATTATATATACTAATTTGTTCCTATTCTACATCCTATTTGTCAATTTTAGGTAACGGAAGTGCCGAAAACGGTTGAAGATTCTCCGTTCAGCTTTAAACTTCGTCGCACTTCGTTTTTGCGTGATTCAAATTTTAATTATGACAACGATGTTGTTGACGTTTAACAATACAGTTCCGTGTAACACCAGAATATCGATTTTATGACAGTATGTCAAAAAAATTAAAATAATAATAAAAATAATAATAAAAATAATAATAATAATAATAATGATAATATACATAATATTTATAAGAATAATCTAAGACAAGCATTTCTATGAATTGCACAATAAGATAGCACATTGTTTGTTTATATTCGTGCCATAAGAAATCCGATATAACATACATATATATATACATTTATTAAATGAACACTTGCATTAGGAACAGGGTAACAAGAGTTTCTATAACAAGTATTAGTCTCCTATTATTATGTCATTAGAAGGTTTTATTGTATATTATAACAGAATATTACATTTACCATGCAGAATTAATTTAAATTACTATTGAATACAAATAACAATTGGAACAAATACTTCCATTTAAATCACAGCCAATGCTGCATTTCTCTAAACTTTAATATAAAAGGCCTGGTATAATATTGTATATGATATTATCGAAGTAATTTACAAATTGGTAACTTGTTTTTAATATTTAAATATTTATCTGTTGTCCTCGCCTGTACATTTTAGATAAGAGACTGTGTAGTTTAGATAAACGGGTGTGTTCTGGCTACGTAAACAAATAATTTCTATCCTATTGGATAGAGTTTTATAGATGTCAACGTAATAAGTGCCTATTACGTATGATAAAACAAAAAAGTGTTATTCTACTTTTAATTTTTTTCGGCAAAATGTATTTGTCTTCCGATGTTTAATGTATGAGTATACAATCGATTACCTTTTCTATTAACGCGTTTAGATTTTTTTTTAATCGCAGTATTTTAAAGAAAGCTCTTGTTTGTTATCCTGAATATAAGCTACATATATGCGTATCATTTTGAATTATTTTGGTCTTAAATTAAAAATCATGCTATAAAATAACTATATATACATATATATATATATATAAATATATATATATATATATATATATATATATATATCAAGTTTAAACAAAAAATCTTTCTAACCGGATCATGTTACTAACTTGGTGTTTGGAAATATAATAGGGATTATACAATCATATATACAAAAATATAATATACGCAAAATATACAATGTAACATCTCACGAAAAAGTATAAAAGTGTCGCATTTTAAGTTGAAAAACATTAAGTAAGAAAACATATAATTGTATTGTGTAACTATGTTGTATAATTTGATTCTTTACATCGTTATAGATAAAGTAATGATCAGAAGAAAGACATTATTCTTTTTTTTTTTGTTTTCTTTTTTTTGTTTTTTTTTTTTTTTTTTTTTTTTTTGTTTTTTTTTTTTTTTTGTTTTTTTGTTTTTTTTTTTTTTTTATTTTTATATTTTTTGCGGTAAGAGGGTTGTTAAATATATTGTCTTTTCTAACAAAAAAGTATTTAACGTATAATCGTATAGAGAATCGATTGGTTTTTATAGAGAAAAGTATATGTATATACATCTGTAAAATAGAAATGCGAAATAATATCTTAATATACATACACACATACATAATATGTATATGTATATTGTATACTTGTAGGGTGTCTTGAATATTCTTATATGAACAAGTGGATATGATTCCTTGAATAAAAGTAAATCATTCGAAATGATATAAATTTTTTGTCATTATCGTTTTATATTTATTTTAAATTAAGGAATCAAATCCTCCTCGATTATATTATGATTTTCGATACACCCTATGTATACATTTATAAAACAAACAAAACGTAAAAATGCAACAGTTCAAACATATATTGTACTTTTGTTTGCGCTGTTAGCTATAATCATTGAAAAGTATACTATTGTTATTTACATGGATGCAGTAATACACAAATCTCTACAAGTTGCATTTTGAAATCCATGTTGCATGTTAACCGAAAAAAAACATATTCCTGAACCTATGTAAGAAGATAATACAAATCATTGTATCAATATACATTGTTGGAAGGTATATTATAAGTCTCCTTTAGGATGACATACATTAAATTTGCATACATTTAATCTTTAAAATATTAAACTATATTAACCAAGAAGAAAATTTTCCTGTAGCTGTTTAATTCAAATTACGTTCTTTAACCACAAAATATGCCAATAACACATTCCATAATAAAATTTTATGACTTATTATATAAATGTAAATCAGTATGATAAAGATTAGGTAATTAATGAAATATTTGATAACAATACTTTTAGAGAAATAGCAAAAGCTATATAATATGTAATATGATTATAAAAATAGCATTCAGTCATGTACGTGTATGTAATATTATGCAAGCTCATAAACAATTTTGCATATGTCATGTTACAGGTGATCTTTTATACTATTAAAATTATATTAGATTATGCAGTGCAATATTCAGTCAAAAACGTGAAACTCATATTTGGAAAAAAAGAAAAGCAAAGAAAAAAAAAGGCCAGTGGCAATACAAATTTTGAAAAACTGAGTATCAGTAGAATTCAGTAGTACTGTCACATTGTGCCAAATTAATAGTAGCAATTAATCTTGTTTTGTAAAACTGAAAAAAATATACGAATCTAAGTTAGGTAATAACTATTGTAGAACGCAAAAAAAAAAATTAGGAAAAAATTCACCTGCAACATGAAAGTGATTTAATGTAAATATTTAAAAACTGACTCAGTATGCCTCTGTGCGTATGATGGTGCATGTGTGATATATTTATATATTTTACTCAAATACATTCCTGTATCAGCAACTTTATATACATACATATAGCGTATTTAGTAAACATAAAGATATAATCCTCCAATGAATAAACTTATCTATGTATAAATTATGAAAAGAATTATGATTATTTTAATATTGCATTACGATGTAGTCAATGAAAAAAAGATTTTTTTTATTTAATTATTTAATTTGTCCTTCGTTGGATTTATTTTAATATTATAAATATAATATAATATTGTAATCGCATAACTTCGAATAATTTGATATTCAAAAATATCAGAATAGCGCGCCATCAAATGTGATTGGTCGTATAAATGATCTCTACTTTTACCTTTGTTTATCCCTACGAATTAGATGTTATGATTGAAGTTGAATTTTTGCTCGTGTTCAGTTCCAATGGTATGGCGCTTGTGTGTAAGATGATTTTATAAAATTTTATATGATAATATCTAAAGACAGATCACATGTGTTTAGTGTATCGCGCGTAAAGTGGTGCGCAGAAGAAACGTACGGAAGTACCGTCATAAAACGTGGAACAAAAGGAGCGTGTAGCTAGCGCGCTGAACACACTGTTAATGATTCTTAATGTAAACGTAATTTTATTAAGTTGAAAGAGAGCAAAGATGTCACGTTCAAAGTCAGAAAAAAATGGGAATGGTAACAAATGCGAGTTGAGTATTTGGACACGTGCAATTACAGCGAATTCAGAATGGCCAGATAAAGTAAATATAACCTCACTTTTAACAATTCATGTTTTACGCGTCATCCTAATTTTATCCATATTTATAGTCATTATAATTGTATCCCTATTTATTATCATTATTTATTGTTTATACAGGAAGAATTTCTTGATGTTGTTTATTGGGCTAGACAAGCAATAGGCATTATTGTTGGTGTAGGATGGGGTCTTATACCTTTAAAAGGTTTTATAGCTCTATTATTGTAAGTAAAGCTTGTATCTATGAGAGAAGCATATTTAAATGTACTTATATTGTAATAATTTAATTATTAAATTATTTTATATTTTTCAGATTTGTACTAGTCAATGCAGGCGTTATGTATCTATATTTTAACAGTTTTCAACAAATAGATGAAGAAGAATATGGCGGTATATGGGAGTTAACTAAGGAAGGATTTATGACTTCATTTGCTGGTTTTTTGGTATTACTTTGTTTCATAAGAATTAACTAAAGTCATAGATATATCGATATGAATTATAGAGTGAATAATATTTATTTTTAGGTGACGTGGATTATCATATATTCAGGACTACATTTTGACTGATTTAGAAATAAAAAGTGATAACACTTGGACTGAAAATCGAATTAATTTGTAAGTGTAAAATCACTTACTACAATTGCTAATGGAAAGTGCTTTATATTCGCATATGCTTGACTTTATAAGCACTGGTCTATGTAAAAGCAAACATTTTCTATATAAAACGCTGGTATATATTAACGGCGTGTCTACGAAAGAAACGAAAGGTATCATTTTACAAAGTATGCAAAATAATATCTTCTTGCAATTTATTACCCGTAGATAATACTTGTTATACAAGAATGAATTATGTATATACAAGCCTTTTTATCGTATTAAATAACTATATTGAACTAGTTTCTTCTTGATACACTAACTTTTGCAGTTACGTCGATTGTTTGATAATAAAAACATATTTTTATTGTTACAAAAAAGAATAGTAAAACAATTTTACAAGTAAAACTCATAGGTGCAAGTACATTTTTTGGTATTTCAAAACAAATACAAAAGAAAAAAATAACAAATTTAACAAACAACTCCATTAATGATCACCCAATCATCGAATGTTTGCGTCCGCGAGCTCGTACTTCTTCATATTTATTAACTATCTCCTTGCATTGAGCTTTATTCGCATAATGTTTTTGATAGCTCTCATAAATCAGTGGAAAAAGAGTGGATACTTCTGAATGAGCACTAAGCAAAGATCTTTCAAGAACGTATATATCAACTGCTTTATCTTCTACAGTCGAATCAATTTGTGCCAATCCAAAATCAATCATAACAAAATGATTTAAAGCTGTAAATATGATACATGTTAATACCAATATTTCTTTTCTTTTTTTTTTCTACTTATTTTACATGACAACTTTCAAGACTTTACCTTCATCCTCGGTCCATGTTTCATCTGAAATATTTTTCAAAAGAACATTTGAAGTCGTCAAATCTCCATGGATTATATTCTTTGAGTGCAGTTTAGCTATAATTAATCCTAATCCTTCTCCTATAAACTTGATTATATGTTCTACGTTAACTTTATCTGATACATTTTCATCAATATAATTTTTTAAAACTATTGTATTTTCCATGTGCTCCATATAGATGGTACGGCGATCCAAATTGATCAGATATAACGCAGGTGTCGGTATGCCTTTAATAAAAAAAAAGAAAAATAAAAAAATCAGTTATCAATTGAATTCACAAATAATAGAATAATTCATCTGATCCAAAATAATGAATAATATTTACCTGCAGATTTAGCACGAAGAATAGCCCGTGCCTCGGCTTTTAATCTATCTTTCGTTAAACGTTTATCTAAATCTGGATGTCTATAACCTTTGACGAATCTCTCTTTAACTATAGTAGATTTACCTAAGTATGTCCCTTTGTAGAGACACGCTTCGGCACCTTGCGATATCAGTTCAAAACCGTCCATGATTTTTCTTCCTCGTAACGAATACAATCCTACATATACATAAGCGTGATTAATAATCAAGCTATTCAAGAATGATTTGTTCTTAATAATAATTAAATCTAAACCAAAGAAATGAAAAGAAAATAAATAAGCCGATTCATCATAAAATAAACAACTCTTATATTAAACTCTTATATTAAAATAAATTTCTCTCTCTCTCTCTCTCTCTCTCTCTCTATATATATATATATATATATAGAGTGTGTATATATATATATATATATATACATATACACATATATACATATATACATATATATATATACATATATATATATATATATATATATATATATATATAATATTTCATTTAAAGATGATCTATACTTAACAATTATAAAGTCTAAATCTAAATGAAGTTTAAAAGAAAGTTAAAGTAAAATAAGAAATAAGCAAATTCATCATGAGAGAGAGAGAGAGAGAGAGAGAGAGAGAGAAGTTTATCATAGAATAAACAACTCTCTAGGATTTCTCTTTTTCTCAAGTCATTGAAAAATGATCTATTCTTAACAATAATGAAATCTAAACGAAGAAAATGTGAAAATAAAATAAGAGACATATCGCAGTTTATCATAGGAAATTCATCGTACAATAAATATGACTCTCTAGAATCTCTCTCTTTCTATTACATAGAAACGTATCTAAGTAAGAAGAAGAGAATAGAAGAGATGCGAGAAGTCGCGCTAGCGCTAGCGAGCCGAGACGAGAACGAAACGGCGAATCGATCGTCCAGCGTCCGTGAGAGCGTCCTGCGCGCTAATCGCTATCCCGACGCTAGTATTCGCCCGTACTTTGTCGTCGTCGGTTTGTCGCTCCGTGTAACTCTCTCTCTTTCTCTCTCTCTCTTTTTCCTATTTTTCTCTCTCGCTCTTTTTCTTTCTTTCTGTTTCTCTCTCTCTCTCTCTCTCTCTCTCTCTCTCTTTCGCTCTCTCTCTCTTTTTCTCAGGTCTCTCTATCTCTATCTTTTTTTATTCTTAAAAATTTTCATTCGATACAATTCGCCTGAAATTTTCAATCAGGATTCGTAGAATACGACTCTTATTTTATCATTTTTTGAGACCAACACCACCACCATTGCCACCGCCACCGCCACCGCCACCGCCGCAACTTGTTAGGGGAAATGAGGGACGAAGTGAAGATGGACGCGAATCGGCTCATCGCCGAAGTTTACAAGCGACCCGCGCTTTGGAACCAGAGACACATATCCTATCATAATCGAGAAGTGACCAACCGCGTTTGGATGGAAATTGCAGCGATCTTCAAGCTTCCCAGTGCGTGCATCAATCCCAAAGAGGTCTTCGTTCTTGCGTTGCTCTCTCTCTCTCTCTCTCTTTCCCACTCTCTCTCTCTCTCTCTCTCTCTCTCTCTCTCTCTCTCTCTCTCTCTCTCTCTCTCTCTCTCAATCTCTCTCACTCTCTATCTCTACCTCTAGCTATCTATCTCACTATCTCCTTCTCACTCACATGAATTGGGCCTACAAGCGATTTCCTCTTACCCCCACCCCACCCTCCGAAGCTGCTTCATTTCTTGCTTCTTCTCAAATGATCTAACCAATCGATTTTTTTTAATCCCCATCAATAATACACAGATCTTTCTTTTGTTTCCTTTCTTTTTTCTTTTTTTTTTCCTTTTTTTTTTATATTTTTTTTCTTTTTTTTTTTAGAAATTCGTACTGTCTATTGATATTTGCGATAAAGTGAGATAAGGAAGAGAAAGGTACGAAAAGGGGTGGTGGCTCCACAGTGGCGAACTGTCGCGTACTCGCTCGTACGCATCGCGGCCGGCTTAACCTCACTTTTTTGTGTCTCCTTTACGAAATTAAAAAAGGCTCTATTTACTTTTCTTTTCCTTTTCCTTGGAGTTTTTCCTTCTCTAAAAGTTGTTAGCTGATCATCGTTGTTATCATCGAACACAATTTTGTTATTAATTTTCTTTCTTATTTTCTTTTTACTTTTTCTTTTTCTCTTTTCTTTTTTTTTTTTTTTTTTTTAATATCAAATCATACACCAAAGAATAAACTTGTGAAAAAAATAGAAATTATACAAAGTAAGAAATTCTTTCTATCGTTCTCATGCAGCTCTATTTAACGATCAACAAAATTTGAAAATTTTCTCTTTAATAAAAACAAAGAAAAATTTGAACAAAATCAAGATCACCAGACATCCACGTAGATCGCACAACTATGACGCTAAGGCTACTCGAGTTAGTTCTAAAGGCGCGAGTAGCTATAACAAAACTGCGCATGCGCAGATTACACTTAAGTCAATAACTAAGGATAGTCGAAGCTAACTATATTAGTCAAAGAAAATTTTTGCAAATATTTATTAACTTTTCCCTATCGAAATTCGAAATATTTCAAACAAAATACTTTTATTACTTTTCTTATTGTACTACATTAATATGCGCTTATACACATTCTTTTGCGCTATGTCTACGAAATAAAAAGAAAAAATGAACCTTCATTCCGTAGGATTAGGATTCTTAAGTATTCAGATAACTCAGGTACCAACGAAATTTTAATTCCAACAAATGTCATACCCATGTCTAGAACTACGACGGAAAATATAGTTAAAATTCGTTGAGCTCGTTTTTTTCCTTTTTCTTTCTTTTTTTCGAGATAGTTTTACAAATAATTTTTTCCTTTTTTTTTTTCTTTTTTTTTCTTTTTAATAATTTTTTCACGCTAAATGCAAATATGATCCTTCGATCGAAACGCATCGAAACATTTTTTCTAATTGGAATATATTTTCTCGTTTAATTCCAGAACCAGTATTAAAGGCTAAGTGGAAAGGTCTACGAGATACATTTCGTGCCGAGCTCAAGAAGGATCAAGTTTATCGAAAGAGTAAATATCATCGTAACAGACCAGTATGGATTCATTTCAAGAGTCTACAATTCTTAAAAGAGCAAATGCTTCCAAGGCCACCTATTTGGGAGCGTGGAAAAGCAGGTATAGATGGAGATCACGGATTAGGAGAAAACGATTCAGAAGGAATGTTGAGTAAGAACGGTACGTCGTTGAGCAGAAGTTTGGACGACAGGGATGCACTGGCTGATCATTTGTTATCGATGAGCAGTGAAAATGGAACGTTGAAAATCGATGGTATCGATCATCGAGTTGACGTCAAACAAGAGCCGGAAGAGAGCTTCGATAATTTGGAATTTCAAAATGTGACGGATAATTTAGCGGACAATGAAATGATGTTGCAAAATATATCACCTGAACAAGTGTTGATGGGTGAGAATGATAATGGTATCGGATTAACGGTTGATCCTCTCGAAGGTAATCGTTTTGACGATAATTATTATTTCCTCATGAGTCTTTTACCACACATCAGAACTCTACCTGCCGATCGAAGAATGTTACTTAGAATGCAAATGCAAGAATTGGTTTACAAGGAAGTTTATAAAAAAGGTAACGAAGATGTCGATGCCTCATGAGAGAAGGAACTCGGACAAGCGTCGCCTACGACGTCAAATTCAAAGAAAAAGACGACCGAACTTCGTGGAGAATCGAAGGGAGATTTGTCCTCACAATCTTCAAGAACGAAACCGTCTTCTTCGTCGAAAGCGGAAAAGGTCGCGTAGCGAAACGGAACGAATAGATACATATATATATATATATATATATATATATATATATATATACATATATATACAACAGTCTTAACAGTTTTGTTCCTTTCTACGCGTGGATTTCTACCTGGAGACAATGACACTTTCCGTTTTGCTCGTAAAACCATTGAAATTGGCCGTGAAAATCGGTAGAGAGTAGAAACGAAGACGACGGTAATGAAATGGTTTATGAATTTTTTAACAAAAATTGTTTAAAATACGCGCACTTTTTTTTAATTAATTCCACTGTAAGATGTCGAGTTCGATAATTTTCGAATGATTTTAATGATCATTCACATTTTCTTTTCTTTTCTTTTACTTTTTTTTTTTTGACGTACGAAAATTCGTTTTTTTTCCAAGGAAATAGAAATAATTCGATATCGATGCTCAGCTCGAACCTTGCGTAACGGTTTTTCGAACGAGCGGATGCACAAATTTCTCTTAAACGAAAGTTCTTTGTGCCATAATTAGTACGTGTATAGTACGAGGAGCGCACGAACGGGCTTCCAATTGTTACTTTGCTTTTTTTTTTCACATTAATTTCGTCCATCGACGTATATAGATCGATATTAGTCGATATTATAGTATGTATGTAAATAGACATGATCGACAGAGAAACGATTGGTCGATTGTTAATATATCGAATGCAAGGATATTTTATGCGAGATCGTTTGCAGAAAAAAAAAATATATTGTCGAGCATGTTACTATTATTACCTCGATGACTATAAATAATTTTCAAATTCAACCGCATAAGCAACGACGATTATTATACAATGTCTCGGTATATATAGAATCGAGAATATCATCTATTCTATCGTATTCCTTTTCTTACGGAATTTATGTTAGCGTTGACCCCAACATGCGTTGGAGGCAATGAAAAAAAGATGACGACGACGACGAAGAAGAAGAAGAAGAAGAAGAGAAGGGAAAGGTAAAAGAATATCGAGCGAAAGGGAAGACAAACTAGGTCCTGGTCGATAGCGTGGGAGTTAAAATATGTATAAAAAGGGTTCCGTAGGTTGAGAATCACTGGTACGCTCGGTACCTGCAGGTACGAACATGCAGCGTGCACCTGTGTGCCAAGATGGACGTCATGTATATACACTTGCCTGCCTCGGTAGGAGAAGTCAGTGCGCATGCGCGACCGCTCGTGACCAGTCGCGCGACTCCGTTCTCGGTCGGCCGTTTCGCTCGCTTTCGCGCTGCGACTCACGCCGTGTTCGGTCTGTCGCTCTTCTTCTCTTCCTCAGTTTTTCCGTAGTCTCTTATTCGTACGGTTGTTTGTTTCTCCATTCGTTCGTTCGTTCGTTCGTTCGTTACATATACCTTTTACCATAGTCTCGACGACTGTTATTTCTATGCTTCAAATTTCTCTCCCTCATTCCTTTTACCTCTCCCTCTTGTCCGCTTGTTATTACCGTTAGTCCAAATGAAGCATCTCCTTTTTTATTTTCTTTCCTCGCACGAACGAACGGGGACGAGTCAAACGCACAGGTGTTTATATCAATCTCTTGGCTGACAAGTCTCTACGGAATAAAAACGTATTATCATCTTATACGAAGAGCCATTTACGAAACACAACGAACATCATAACCATCTTACAACATTCGAAAATAAATCTCGTTTATATAAAATCGTGACGCGTACATCTTTCTTCTACAATTGGAATATATCTCGGAAATATATATTCTCTACCATTCACTTCATCCCTGGCTTACATCTTCTGAATCATCATTATCTTCGTCATTATTTCAAGGTGAGTCGACTCGCGTAACGTCTTTTGGCGAAAAAACCTGTTTCTTTTTTTTTCAAGGAATTCTCCAAATCATCGGCCTTGACCTTCTTACCTTTCAATGTTTCTCTCTCTCTCTTTCTCTCTCTCTTTCTTTTTCTCTCTTTCTGTTTGTATAATCGCGATGCACCGAAGAAAATAATTTCGGTATATTACTATACAACTGTAATGTGATACGTATACTGAAAACTTTCAATATTTTTTATTCCCGTATATATTTGAATCATTTCTTCTCTAAACGCCGTAATTTCAAAGGTATATATGATGTGTGTATATATATATATGTGTCCTCTTTTGTGCTGCGTCTTTTGTTTCCGCCCGTTGTGTCGTCGCGTTTCATTGGATCTTACTGGAAAAGAAGCCGTAAGAATGTCGGGATCAAGTGAATTTCGGAGAGAAATAATTCCTGACCGTTAATATTTTTTGTAAAACTTCATTTAGTTTCTCTCATAATACTCTCCTCGGAACCCTTTTATATTTTTACCAACTGTCGACATTATTTGAAAAGCTGTTTCACTGTAAAAAAAAAAAAATAATTATGATGATTATTTTATAACTTGTGTTCATTCCGATTAGAGGTGATTGTAAAGAACGATGTAATGTTTGTATTATTCGTATGCAATATTTTAAATGTATGTATGTATTGTATGTATGTGTATATGTATTACGAGCGTGGTACACCAGTGTTTGTTGTCATAATCACAAGTGAGAATATTTTTGCAACGATATATAAACGTCGGGATAACAAGGTAACATTTCGAAAACATTCAAACAGTTTCTCCTTTTCAAACATATTACCTATAGTTTTCTGATTCGTCGTAAGGTATACAAAAGGTAGATGCAATCTTTCACGATTGTATGTAAATAAAGTTGAAAGAACAAGTTTGATCATTCATGAAGATCTTCCTCTTGATATAAAAGAAAGAAAAAAAAAAAAAAGAAGAAAAGTAAAAGTTACTTTGATCGTACAATAGACTGGAGACATTACACATCACGACGCTTAATATTTCTTTCAAGTTTCTCTCTCTCTCTCTTTCTTTCTATGGTAATTATTATTATAAAAATATGTGTTTAAAAGCTAAATAGTATTACGTTCGATTCATTCGTTTTTGTTCTCCAATCATAATGGCTGCTACCGCTTAACTGCCGTTCTGCTTTCTCTATGATATATTCAACGTTTCGTCGATAACGCGGAATCTTTTTTTAGTTGATCACTATTAACGAACGTACGGCACGTACGTTTCACATGTAACTTCAATTATATCACATTGTCTCTTGTGGGATTCTTCTTTGTTTTTTTTTTCTTTTTTTTTTCTTTATGAATCATGAAAGATTAAAACTAATTGAGTTTGTTTGATCTTTTTTAACATGAATCAGTACTTGTGAATAATCGATATGCGAGTTAATAATGAGATATGTAAGTATTTACTTTGAAAATAATTGTTGTCGTTCAAATTTTTTCCTTCTTTTTCTTTGCTTTTCTTTTGTTTCTTTGTTTTTCTTATGTTTTTCTTTCGCTTTTATTCCTCCTACATTTTTATTTATTTTATTTCTATTTAATTTATTTCACCTTCATATATATTCATGTATATATATGTATATATAAAATTTGTCATCTCACGATAATCAGATACGTAGTATATACACCTATCTCTTACGATCGTAACTACATAACTCGGATATCAAAATGATGTTATAATTAAACGAACCGAGAAGCGTCAAACGTATTTCCTTCCTGTGGCCGCGCTTTCGAGCTCGCTCTAAATAACGTTACACTCCTGGAATTCAGCGATTCGAAACGCATTTATGCGTGTAACTTACATACACGAATAAGCCTGAAAGTTAGTTGAATTTCATCGAACAAAAAAAAAAAGAGATAGATCACAACCGGTATCTTATTTTATAATTACATACATATTAGATACGAATAATAATTAAACAGAGAGATAATTCGAAATGATGTTTTTCCTTTATCAAATTAGATCTAAAATGTGTAATTTTATCATCAAACGCGTTTTGAATTCCAAACGATATATCGACTTTACAAATCGAAAGAGCGATGTTCTCTACGTAAGAAAAAAAAAAAAAAAGAAGAAGAAGAGATAATGACTCGTCAAGTAATGCAATTTTAATGCAACTCACGTATATTCTTTCTTACCTTTTTATTCTCCTTCGACGTCACGCGTATCTATTTTCGAATTATTCCACGATAATATATACCGGTTCATCGTAACCAACTACATACTACTACGATGAATAAATGATTCAATTCGTGCTTATGTACGCTCAATGATCAAACGTCAAGAGCACCATACGGTGATTTTTTAATTAAAAAATTCTCGATGCATTCATTATTATCGGTGATCTATTTTTTTTTGAAATATTTTAAAAGTACTTTAATGGAAAATTTTAATTGCATCTAACTATTAGTGACTAAAGAGAGAGAGAGAGAGAGAGAGAGAGAGAGAGAGAGAGAGAGAGAGAGAGAGAGATAATATTCATAATTCAAAAAAAAAAAAAGAATAGGCCGCGCTAATTTCTAGAACGTTTGGAAAATATTTTGGTGGGTAATTTGAATCGTACGTGCCCTTTAATATTCAAAAATAAAGAGATAATGTAATAAAAAAAAAATATGAATGATAAGTTCTGGATTTTTCGGAAATATATTTTAGCGGGAGATTTGAATTGCACGTGACTCGAGTGATCAGACAGATATATAATATAAAAAAAAAAAAATGAGAAAAAGAGGACATTGAAGGACATCATTCTTGTATATACCGTGACGTCACGCTTCGATCAACGACGAATCCTTGATCCGATTTCACATGATGCTTTCCAATGGTGCATTGAGTTAAGAAGGGGAGAGCATGTTGATCCGGAATAACGAGGAAAGGATCTCTGGCACGCGTTGCTCTTCTTTTCTTAATCTCTCTCTCTCTCTCTCTCTCTCTCTCTCTCTCCCTTCCCCCTCTCTCTCCTTCTTACACACACACACACACACACACACACACACACATACATATACACATATACACGCACGCGCTCCTTTCTTCCTTCTCTATAAAAAAGGAAACAAGACCGCATGGACAACTACTTCGACGTTCGTACTATTTAAAGAGGAAAGCTTCTGGCGAGTTTCCAGGAGTGTTCCTCTTGATCTAAGAGTTTCTGAAGTAAGTTCAAGGGATGTATTACTGAAAAAGGATCTACATACAACTCTTTTTCTAGTCAATAGATAACGGATATCGATGAAAACACATCATCGTGTAACGCCCCTTCTCGAACTGATCGGACACTCCCTTTTATGATTATCTCATCGAACGGTTCCGACTGGTACGGCTTCGTCCCGTTGCTCGGTTTAACTTCATTTGAAATCATGAGAATCTTGATATAATCCAATCATAGTTTCAATAGATATTACGTAGTTTAATTAGATATCAATAGATTTAATATCATTTCTCTTTTTCTTTTTTTTCTTTTTCTTCTATTCTTTTTTTGTCTTTTTTCATATTTATTTATACACTTTTAATCTTAATCAAGTATCAAAATAACAGTTAATTATTAGATTTTCTATTCCGTTCTCCGGTCCATGTACTTTCAGCGACACGAGCGCTATCTATCGAAAGTTCGCGACAAAATTGCGAGTTCGACGAACTATCGAACACTACTTTTGTTTTTTTCTTTTCTCTCTCTCTCTCTCTCTCTCTCTCTCTCTCTCTTTCTTTCTGTTTCTCTCTTTCTTTCTTTCTTTTTCTCTTTCTCTCTTTCTTTCTCGGTAGAAATTTTTCCAGTAAGCTTTAAGCACGTGGGAAGTGTTTATGATATAAATGTTACACAAACACATCACATACGCACACTCGTGTCGATGTAAATACGATCCCATCGTATATAAGGTACAAACGAAGGAGACTTCCTTCTTACTGCGTGAAATAGAAAGTGGGATCGCTTCGTGAGACTTATGTTTATATATAAATATATGTATGCATATATGTATATATGTATGTATGTATATATTTATAGGAAACATACATAACCATGCATATTGAAGAATCGTATATAAGAAGGGAAAAAAATAATAATTTCAAATTGATCGAACAATGCAGAATTTTATTAATAAATATCATTAAAATCAAGTAACATTTCTCGACAAGTTTGTAGATCTAATCTAAAGTATAATCTTATATTTATCATTTTGAAAAAAAAAAGAGAAGCGAAAACAAAAAATACAGAACAAGTTTACTTCCCGACTAATTAGGGTTAACACAGTTAGATTTAACATAGTTAGGTATACATGGATGATGTTTCGCAAGTAGGGAAATAAATGCGGAGGTGGACATGGTGGAAGTGGAGATGGATGTGGATGTGGTATATTCAGCCCTTTATTCACCGAACAAGTTTTCGTCGTCGTCGTCGTCATCGCCGTCGCCGTTGTCGTTGTCGTCGTCGTTGTCATCTTTTTCCCTCCTGTTTCTCAGCATTTCTCAGGCTTGACTCACTGTAGCATGACTTCGGTGCGCAGTTCTCACGCTTTTCTCTGACTTACTCGTTCAAATTTTCTCACAAACTCGCTCACAAGATATATATATATATATACATACATACATATGTACATACCTATATTTGCATCCCTCGACGAACGTAAGTGTGTAAGGAAGAATAAAAAAAGAAAAAGGGGAGAAAGAGAGAGAGAGAGAGAGAGAGAAAGAGAGAGAAAGAGAGAGAAAGAGAGAGAGAGAGAGAGAGAGAGAGAGAAAGGAGAGATATAGGGATAGAAAGGGATGTAGGGACGTTATGGTTGAACATGCAACTCTTTGCTTACAAACGGTTGGGCACTCATCTCAGTGGAACGCGGCTCCGCCTCTTGCTACAGTCAGAAGTTAATTTTACCTGCGTGATTTTATTCGTGAACTTGACAGGCCAGTTGGATCTGAAAAAGCACGAGTTAACGACACTGGTTTTGAGAGAAGGAGAAAGGGAGATCAGTCTCTCTCTTGACTCTTGCTCTCTCTCTTTCTCTCTCTCTCTCTCTCTCTCTCTCTCTCTTTCTCTCTCTTTCTCTCTATCTCTATCTCTAGAATGTCTTCGGTCTGACTCATGCCTTTCTTCCATCGCTGGAGAACTCCTACTATATCTTCTGTCCCTCTTTCTTTCTCTCTCTCTCTCTCTATTTCTGTCTCTCTCTGTTTCACCTTTCGTCCTTTAACAACTCTATTCTCTCGAATAGTTATTTAGTTACATGGATAAAGTTGTAGAAGCAAGTCGTCGTCGTATACCATGATGTGTCCTGTCTCTTCCTAAAAAGGTGGAGAATATCGTGATCGGATAAACGAAGGATGGTAAGCTCCCGTTCTTCGTCAACGGCTATTGACGATAAGAACGAAGAGAACGAGGAAAAGAAAAGGAGAGAAAAAGAAGAGGAAGAAGAAGAAGAAGAGGAGGAAGGTGTAAACGGTGGTAACAACAGAGATCATCCGTCGTTGCTGTCTACCGTAGAGGTATTAGATATTGTTGGCGAAGCAACAGGCAGCGCCATCTCGCCGAGAGAGAAACGAAACGTTAAGAGCGTGGACAAGGACGAGGGGAAGGGGAAGGGGGGAAGGAGGACGAACGCTGCCATCGCCGACGACGACGACGACGACGACGACGACGACGACCACGACGCCGCCGCCACCGCCGCCGCCGCCGAATGGGGCCGACGGAGCAACGGCGGGCCACCTCCCTCGCTCTCAATGTCGTTAGACCTGCAGAATCATCCGATCGGTAGCGCAAGTCCGCAAAACGACTCTGGAGATTATTCGAATATCGGTAGCGGCGGCGCCGGCGGTGGTGATGGTGATGGTGGTGCCAGTAATGGTCCAGGTCCAGGTTCAGATCCAGATCCACTTATTATAACCGAAACTAACAACAACAATAACAACAACAACAACAACAACGCTCTTTCCTCTTGCAATATAAAACTTATTGGTAATAATCGAGAAGAAGAGGAGAGTTACGAGGGCTTTGGCTTTGGTTCCGACTTCGGTTCCAGTTCTGGTTTCGGTTCCGTCGAAGTTGACGCCGACGTTGAACCCGAAGACGGCCGAGACGACGCCGATTCACCTGGTGGCAGTAGTTCGGCACCCTCTCCTACCGGTAGCAATCCTTTCGGCAGGTAAATTGATCTTATATTTTTTCTTTCTTATTAAAAAAATCTTTTAGGATTTCTCTTTCTCTCTCTCCCTCTCTAATATTCTTTCTATCTCTTTCTTTTTCTCTTTTTCTTTCTTTTTATCTATTCATCCATCTTGCGATCGTTTTAAATTCTCGCGCCTTGGGTCACGCGGTACCGCATCGTGGCCATTTCAGAGCCAATCAAAAAACACCGTTCGCCAGGACGACGGACGTCATCGTCGTCGTCGTCGTCGTGTCGTTGTCGTTGCCGTTGTCGTCGTCGTCATATCGCTCGAGTGCAACGTGCTGTTCGTACTGGAGAACTTATCGATTCGTCCGAAAGGTGAAATTCATCGTTCGAACATTGCCGCAGTGTGGTAAAACGGAAACCGCGATTTCTACCTCCCCTCCCTCTCCCTACTCCTTTAATCGGTGCCCCCTTTTCTTATCCTTTCTCATTTATTCCTTGTTCTTCGTTTTTTTTTCTTTCTTCTTTTTTCTTTTTCCTTTTTTCTTCTCTATTTTCCCGCAACTTTTTTTTGTATCCTTTCCATTGGAATTTATTCTTTCTTATTTCCCGTTACGCTGTTTCGGTTCGGTTCTCCATAGTTGGTTAAAAGGAACGTGCATAAATATGTCCGTATTGACGATAAAAGTATACGATTAATTTTCTGACTGACAAAGGTCGTGTCAGAACTATTGTTTACGTTACACTCGTGCACGCTTGGAACGTTGTTAATTACCTTCATGCTACGGTGAATCCTAAAGAAGCTTTCCTTCAGATAATGATAATAATAGTACTTTCTTTGTACAATTCTTTTCTTTCTTTTTTTTTTTTACACTCACCAAGGGATTGTTTCCCGATGATTATTAAGATTTCGGTTGTATTCAGTAAAAAAAAAAAATTGATCTTCGTTCTCACGATCGTGTGTGTGTGAGCATATATACACACACACATTCCTACATATATATATTCAAATATATATATATATGTATATATATATATATATATACACACATACGTAACTATCATTTCTAACGTTTCAAACTGTATCGAAAGTTTCGCACGAGAAGAGAAAACAAAGTTAATGCCATTATTATTCCGACTACTTCCTCGAGTTATTAATCTAATTTATCGTATTCTACGGGAAGCTTAATAACATTCAATCCCCTTATCCCCACTTTCCTTCCCCATTTACTTTAGAGAAAGAAATAGAGATTATCACAGTAATATAAGTTAAATGCATTTCCGTCGAAGATGATTATGTTCTTTTTATTTCTCTTTTGTTTTTCATTTACATCACGTTCGGATAAATTGTTTTTTTTCTTTTGCTACGTTATTTTTAAAAAAAGAAAAAAAAAAGAAAACTTTTCTTTTATACACACAAACACATACACGCGCGTTTTTTTTTCTTTCTTTTTTTTTTCTTTTTTTTTTTTTTTTTAATAGAGATATAAATTTTAGGATAAACGGTATTATCTTTCTCTTTTTTCTTTTTTCGTAACTTCTCATTCGACAAAATTGAATCATTAAGCAGGTATGATCATTCGAGCATGAAATTACTTTGAGGTTAAGCGTGACTACTGATAATTAATATTATGATTACACAGATGTTTAGAAGAGAAGATAATTTAATGATCTCGTTAGGTTTAATAGAATCAATTTTGGTTGATATGTAGTGATCGTAGGAATAATAATAGAAATGTATGTTGTTAATTAATTTAAATTATACGCATCGGTAGAGAGGAATTTATAGAAATTATTTGTATGGTTTATAAATTTTACTTGGAAATTTTTTTATTATAATAATTATTTAATCCGATCGAACTCTACGAAATTTTCACTTTCTCCCAATATCATATATTAGATTGAGATTTAAAATAATTTATTCCTTTATTCATATATTTTATCGAACGTTCATTTTATGCGTATAGTAACTTTCGATTTATTTATTTCACGTAGAAAGTAATCTTTTGCTCTGTATTTATAATAAGAATATTGAATATAACTGATCGTACTTAATAAATTTATATATAATTCATGTAAATATAATTATTATATAAACGATTTATTGAAAAATAAATTTACAAATTAAGCTTAAATAAACGAAATTATATATATATATATATATATATATACTTATATACAATATATATATATTGTATATAAATTTATATATAATATACATAATAGTACATAATAATATATTTATAGACAGATAGTATAATAGTAGTATACTATTTATGTAGTAGTATATAAATATGTAAATATAGTATTTCTTTTTTATATAAATTTACATTATCAATATTATAAATTTATTATGTATGAAATCAATTAATTATTATTTACTTATAATAACTTTATATAATCAATTATATTGAATCTCAAATAAGTTTTGATCTTTTTTACAGAAATCCGAGAAGTCCGAATTCGACCATAGGAAGGCATTCCTGGCTTCGAACGTCCCTCAGACGAACACCCCCATGGTAATATATACATATATATGCATATACGTACATAAATATATATATATATAAATAGATATATTAAAAGAAAAATAAATCGAGAAAGAAAAAGAAAAATATTATCTTGCATATCATAAACGAGTATTTGCAATTTTGCTGCGGGAACTTCCGTCGATATAACGATGGCGAAACAAAGACGTGTGAAAAGATGGCGTGCGAAAGAGATCGTATGTGTAAATATGTCTTTCTCTCTCTCCCTCTTCTCTCTTTTTTTTTCTCTCTCTCTCTCTCTCTGTACATTATCGGCACAACGAAAGATAAGAAACTGAATTTCAAATTTTTCCAAGCCACAATGACCTTTGTTTATCCTTTTTTATATGTAACTATAAGAAACGCTTTTCAATGGTAATATTTAATTTCGAATATTTAATTCGTTGCAATTTAATTGTATTCTCTTGCATACCATTCATACACGTATACGATCCATGCACTTGAACCGTGACAGAGAAAGAAAGAGAGGGAGAGGGACAGAAAGAGAGAAAGAGAAAGATGAGAGATGAGAACTTGGCTCATAGTCAACATCCGATAAATCGGTAGATAGTCGACCTCGGTAAAAATATTCTTAGCTATTAGCAGCTCGATTACGATGGCACGCTATAATGGTCAATAAGAATCAATTGGTTGCTTTTAAACGTTGATAAAAGATTTTTCTTTCTTTTCCAGTTCCGGGAGAAAACGGATCAGTTCAAATGCATTAGCGAGGTAAGAATTATATATTCTCTAAATGATAACTAATATAATATATACAAAATAAATTAATCGAAGTAGGTACCTTACATTTTACATAATGAACAATATCTAAATGTGATAGAAAAAAAGTCGAAAGAAGAAAGTATAATAGTAATAAGTATTACATATATATATACATATATATATATATATATATATATATATATATATATATATAAATATAAAAGAAAAGAAATGAAAAAAGAAAAAAAAATATATAAAAACACATTCTAAATAATTTTTCATTATTAATCATCATTAATCAATTACATTGTTATAATAATGATCATTAATAATTTTCGTATATAAAAGAACAAAATATGTTTATATAAAAAAAAAAGATATGCTCTTGTATACGGACGATTTTAAACAAACTGACGTCATGATATGATAATAGATGATGGCGTCATTCGGAGATGAAAAAAAAGAAATCGGTAACAGGGATCTTTTCTCAAAGATCTTCAACGCCAACTCCATTTCGTGACGCTTCGAGAAATTTGATCCTTTCACAGAATTCTAAATTGAAAGAGAACTTTCTACTATATAGACGTTTTATATATTTCAATTGTACGTATATATAATGAATGTATATATCTGAATAGTGAAAAGATTTTATTTCGATATTGCTTAACTTGTACATTTTAACAATAAGATATATATAAAATAATTAAATAATATAAGCTCAATAAAAAAATAAAAATGAGAGAAAATAAAGTAACGTTAACAAATTTAATTAAAATTTTCTGTACTTTTACTTCTAAATATTTACCATATTTAATTTTCTATTTATAAGTATTCACTATAATTAATTTTCTATTTATAAGAATTCATTTTTAATTTATCTGCTATACCTACTTATATTTCAATTATGACCAAATTTGAGTTGAGACCGGGCGAAAAACCATAGCAGTATTTATGCCATTTGATATTTAAAAAAGAACGAAAGAAAGAACAAAAAAATAATATTTATAATTTTTCTAGGATTAAACACAAAAAATTAGAAATCGATCAATTTTATAAATCTAGTATTAAAACGACGATGTATGATATATAAAAAAATATTTGCTAAAATATCTGTGTACTTCAATTTTTCTTATTTATTTTTTTTTTTATTTTTTATTTTTATTATAGTCAACTCTATCGCAGCGGTAGCTTCAATAGTTCGGGAAGAGGCTCGAACTGCGACAATACGGACGATATGTACAGCGATGTGTCTCTTGAGGAAGACTTTATCGATCTCAATCATAGGGTAAGTGTTTCAATTCGCATGTTATTATATTCGCGTACATACATTTATATGGTGTGTTAAAAAAGATTTACCAAAATTCTACGTAATGGTAATCGAAGATTAATTTTATATTGAACATGAAATACAATTCTGCAACGTAAGTATAAAAAATAATAGCTTGCCGTATATAACTACATATAACATAATTCATTATATAAGTATACGTGTTCAAAACAGTGTACTCAGAGAAATACAATGTCGAGTGTAGATGTATTATCAAAAGCAATTCGTCGTCGTTGTCATTTCTTTTGAATATTATCCATCTACTTCGAACGTCTTCCAATAGAATGACGGGTCTCATTATTGAATATTACATTGAACCAATCAATAATTTGATATATGGACTCTGAATTAGATTCGAACGGGACGGTTTAGAGAAAGATTGTATTGGATTGATCAATAAGTAATGCGTTGGAATTTTCAATAATTTAATTAATTTTCAATAAATAACATACTGTAATATTTTATACTAACAATGGACAATATTTTATATTTGAATAAATAATAATAGTATTTTTTTATATAAAGAAGATCAAATAAATGCTATAATATGTCTCCATTAAAAATTTTTAGTATTTTGTATCTGAATAAAGAAAGCATATCTAAATAAAAATAAATTTTGTATCCAGTATTTTTTTTACTAAAAATTCTGACATTACTTGTAGTATCAATATTTGAACATCAGAATGTAATCAAATGAAACTTCAAAGATCTCAGTTAACCTTCTAAATTTAGGTGTTTTTTTTTTGACATTTGATTTAATAATATTAATAACAACAATAATAATGTTTTCGTTTTAATCAATAATTTGATATATACTGATTAGAAAAAAAGAAGGAAGAGTAAGGATAATCTTTTATTTTTATTATATACATAATATAAAATGTGCGAATAAAAAAATGATATATACCGATTGGAAAGAAAAAGAGAAGAATAGTAAGAAGATTTTTTATTCTTTATACATAATACACAATGTGTGAATAATAATGATATATACTGATTAGAAAGAAAGAGACGAAAAAAAAAAGAAAAATTATTTATTTATTATACACATTATACAATGAAAACGTTATATATTACTGATGATTAGAAAGTAAGTCCGGGAGAGGAAAAGAACTTTATACGCATTATACTGTGTATATGCATGTGCGAATAAAATCGGTATACATACAGTGATTAGAAAAAAAGAAAAGAAAAGAGAAAAGAAAAATTTGAAATCATTCATCTATCCGATGTGTCCCACAAAACAATCTTGTGACTCCCCGTCTTGTCCATCTCACTCTACTCGTCAATCCGATCGGATTAAATTACCATCATCGCACCATTCTGGTCCTTCTTATGGTTATTATCCACAACCTTATCCTCGTTATATTCAATACGAACCATACGGAATTCATCGTCATCCGATCCCAAGTTATCCATCTTCCTGCTATAATGGCCATGAAAATCTCGATGAAGTATATTCTGAAAGCAAAGGCAAACTATCAGGAAAATCTTGGTACTTAATCATTATCCTTATAGTGATTATCCTTGTACTCGGATTTGCTCTTTATCGTACACTTTCGAGAACAAATCAAAGATTTCGAAACATTAGACAGACTAATCTTATACCTCCGATACAGGTAAAATCGTTAGTTTAATATGTGTTAAACCTTTGCACTATACTTATTTATGTCTTGTTTGGTATTTGTTAAATTTGATATAGTGAATAGATTTTAAATTATCTAAAAATATAACGAGCAAATATAATGAGATATCGAAAATATTAATATCTTTTTAGTTATATTCTGATTTGATGCTTTTTGATATCTCATTATATAGAAAAAAAATATTTCTTTTTTTGTAATATTCTAATTTGATATTTTTTGATCTCGCTATACATAATAAAAAAAATATATATAATATATTTTTTTAATAATATTCTGACTTAATATCTCTACAATATATATATAATCGTGTACTTTCTAAACGAATTTTCAACGAAATTAATTTCTTCTAATTTATTTTACGAATTAAATACGATTAAATAAATTTATTAATTTCATATAGACAGTGAGGAAAAAGAAAGACTCTATACAAAATTGTCCAACCGAATTTGTCCGGTGTGCTGGCATGATATCAGAACTTAGGAAAGAATGTAGTATGCCGTGTAAACAATGTAGAAAATTCCCTATAAAAATATCCTCTCCAAAAATCTTCAAACCGATCGATATTACGTCAAACGAGATCGACGAGGATGAGGAAACTTTAAATATAGGAATGATCGATATTCCCCGTTCAAAAATTAACATAGCTACTGATACACCGAGTCTCAATGCAACCAATACCGAATGATCATAAAAGAATCAACGATAAAATAAATATATTTTGCGATAAAACATAAAAAAGCAAATGCCGTAAATGAAAGTAAGAAATTATGACACGTCATTTAACAGCATTGATCATTTATTTCAAATAAATCAAACGTATTTATGATTGGTTTGTATGAAAAGTGAAAGTACGTATAGTATATGCATATGTATGTTGTCTAGATAATTCGTATTTCGATTGTTCAATAAATTTAATTTCTCATTTGTTTATTGAATAAATATCATTAAAAAATTTTCGCAAGATATCTTCGATAAGTTCGGTTTAGAAATTCGTCAAAATTAATTCGTAAAAATGTGTTACCAATAATAAAAAAAATTTCAAAATTAAACTTCTTCGATCCGTTGATAAATCTGATAAGCGGCTTTGCGACAAGCGAAACTAGAGCGAGGAATGGCCTGTGTTAAAACGTCATGCAATGGTTTCGTTGGTTGGGTTGGATGGTCCTTCCTGAGTTTCGTGTTGGTCGTAGCAGCATTAAGTTATTTGGGATATACAACTTACAAACAGTGGAGTAGTAGACAGGGATAAAGGATTAATCAAGAAACATTATCATTTTTGAATGACTATTATCTACGAAAACAAAAGGTACATTTTGTACATAGTAATAATAATAACAATAATATAATATCAATCAATAGTCCGCATTTAAAGTTATTAAATAAATGAATTAAAAATTTCTAATGATTAATCAAAAAGCATCATCTTTTGAATGACTATTTTAAAAAGGTACACTTTGTACCTGCTATGATAATAATAATAATAACAATAATATCGATCGATAGTCCGCATTTAAGGTCGGCAATATGGCGACCGGAGTTTTATTCCTTGCTTCTTCGTGCTAATATAATCTCTCACGTGCACCATAAGACACGCATAAAATCGACAGGAAATATTGAAGAGGACGTTCTCTCCATTTTCGCATAAGGCAAGTCCGAGTATGTGACCTCGAAACACTTGTGTAGACCCACGTTAACTTCCTAATCCGCCCATCCCTTGTCCCAAGAATTCACCCACGCATAAAAGAGATAGTTATAGTTATATACCATTCATGGAAACATGTATACGAATAGGAAGAACGTTAAAAGAAAAGTAAGAGAAAGAGAATACATTTAAAAAAAGAAACGTAGAAAGAAGAGAATACGAAAGTTGACGTAGAGAGAGAGAGAAAGAGACAGGGGAGGGAGAGAAAGAGAGAGAGATAGAGAGAAAGAGAGAGAGAGAGGACGAAAAAACAAATTTGAAAAGGATAGCACGTAGTACGTTAGATATTCTCCTTCTCTTTATTTTCTTCGAGTAGGATGTATTTACTCGCGCGCATCGAATTTATAAGGGGTGGGCGTTAAACTGTATTCGATGTAACACAATACAATGCAACACATACACAACACGTATATAACTTATACACATGCCTCTTACGTGACATATGTACACGTGTTAAACGTAAATACACATGCCACACATACGCAAACATATATTCATTCTCTCGAAGTTATCCGAGAGGTAGTGTGGAAAGCAACAGAGAGCACAAATAGCATCGTTCGCTATCGTTCGGTTACTCCCGGCGAGCGATCGAGAGTTGAGAACGCGCGACACGAGGAAGACGAATGTATTTGAAGTGCGCAGCAAATGAGAACGTAAAGTGTGCGTTAAATTTCCTATCCTTCATTTCGTTTATTGTACCAATTTCTTTTATTATTGTTCCGTCGAATAATCAAAGGATATCAAAGGAAAAGAAGAGTGTGCGCAGCGACATTTGTTGTTGTTGAGGTTATGTTCGTGGTCGCGTGAGTGGGAGCGAGATAGACGATGCTTTATTGTCATCGTCGTTTTATGGCGCGTAATACGCGCCTCGTCTCCGTCGTCGTCGTCGTCGACGTCCAGAAGACGGTGGATGATAGAGCATCGAGAATAAAGATGATGTCGATGACGTGACTCGATTTGAAAGAGAGAGAGAGAAAGAGAGAGAGAGAGAGAGAGAGAGGATAGAGAAAGAGATAGACAGACAAATTAAAAAATAGAAAGAGAAAAAAAGAGAAAGAGATGGAATCGCGACGACCGAACGACGATGACGACGATGATCGAGACGACGATCTAACGTCGGACTCGATCGATCGAGATGATCGAAGTGCTACCACTTCCGGGGAGGGACCACCCTCTGGACCAGGTGCTGGTCTAGAGTACGACCTCTGGGAGGGACAATTTCAGTTTGTCGGCCAGGTACCCCGTGTCGCAAGGACGCCCAGACGACATGTTCCTTCGCTTACAGGACAAGTAAGCTTTATCATACCATCCCTCATGACATTTCTTCTATTATTCTTAATTTTTTCTTTTCTTTGTTTATTTTTACTTTTCCTTTTTATTCTTTTCTTTTTTATTTCTTCTTTTCTTTTTTATTCTTTTCTTTTTTATTTTTTCTTCAATATTTTCATTATTCTACCAATCGTTTTTCTTCCTATGAGTTTTCCAATACATGCTACTTAGGTATCATGTTCCAACTTTTCTTGGTACGATACGAAATAGAATGATTTTTTGGTATATTGCCAACGTCAGTACAGTTCAAACGAAATATTTACTTGATCGGATTTTTTTTTCTTTTTTTCTTTTCTTTTGCATTCTTTGGTTTAATCATCTAAAAAAGCCTATACTATACCAGAGAATATTAGTGGTTATGTTCTTTTTTCTATTTTTTTTTTTTTTTTTTTTCTTTTTTTTCCTATTACATCTCGAAGCTTTCGGTAATAGGATAATTGTGTTAAGTCGGCTTCTATTATCTGTTTTTATTTAAACTACGAGGTTTACTATAGACACATGTTATAGATATCTTTATATATAAAAGGATATGTTATATGTATATACATCATCGACAGAACGATCTATCCACGTGTTGAACGTCTATCTAAATCAAGGTTATAACACGTGTCAGAAAGACGTTCTTTGAAATGTTATTCATTCCTATTTTTTTTTTTTTTTTTTTAATATGGCGCCAAAATTATTTTCTTATTGCGAAGTATTTTTAGAATATACACGTTCGTAGAAACGTGTTGCAAAAATGCCAATTCGTAGGAAATGCGTTTCTAGCTGTTTTAATAGCTATTGATAAGAATAGCAAACGAGAAATCTACGGATGTCCACATTTGATATTCTAACCGCATGAGTCTTACTATCGAGAATGCACAAGTGCAACGCCTTACAGTGGAATGTCTTTTATACGTATTGAATATTTTATTCGAAAGAAAGGATTTCCGTTCTCTTAATTTTTATATAAGAGAAATTATACGAATAAATCATTTTTTGAGATATATGTATGTTTAACATCTAATTTTTATTTATTTATTTATTTATTTTAATAAACATTCTAAAGATGATCTTGTATTATAGGTCCAAATGATTCAAGAGCAAATGCACGCATTGGCCGATACACAATCGGTCGGTGAGGAAAGATACGCTAGAGTTAAACAAGAAAATGCTACTTTACAAGCAAGAATATTGATGTTAGAAGAAGCTGCGAAAGATGCCGAAACTAGAGCTGAAGAACGATTACAGGTACATTCGATATGACCTTTGGTTTGTTTTTTCATTTTTTTCGTTTATTTTATTTTCATAAACACAAAAGGTGTTTATTTTTTAATATATATCTTAGGCAGAACAAAGAAGGCACAGAGAATTGGCCAGTCGTTTGGAAAGAGAAAAACAGTTACAATTAGAAAATTATGCTATTAAATTACAAGCAATTGAATTAGAAAGTTCTAGTTTGAGGGATGAAATAGGAAGATTAAGAGAGCAACTAGAAAGAGTTAAAAATGACAAGGCCTCCCTTGAAATAGAACTCAAAGATTCTCAAAGCGAAGCAAATACTGCCAGAGAAAACGAAAAACAAGCAGTTGCTAGAGCTAATGAAGCTCATCATATGCTTCAAGTGGCGAAGGAGGAATTAATAATTAGAGCTGATAATCAACAGAGACTCGAAGAACTTGAACAACAAGTTATTCATCTTCAAGCACGTAATAAAAGTATGTTTCTTTTTCTAAAATATTATTTTGTATATATTGAGATGTTATATTATATATATAATATATATTATATTAATATATATTATAACAACAATAGGTTTAGAAGAGACACGAGACGAGTTGCAAGCTGCTGCTGCTGTACAAGCAGGTCGAGAACTTTTAATGTTAAATCCTTGTAGTAATGGTACTGAAAAAGGACCTAGTCTAGCAGCCGAGTTATTGGCTGGTATGAATCAAGATCAGGTATGTTTCATTATCTGATTTGTTATCTTCTAAACTATACTATAAATAATGGTTTACAAATTATGTTATTGTAGATGGATGGTCATGCAATTGAAGAATATGAACCACCATATAGTATTTCGGAAGTATGTATAAACAATTTAATTCTTCTATTTCATTATGTATATATATATATCTCCTAAGCAAACTATTATATATTTTAGCTGAAACAGGCTTTGAAAGAACAACAGGAAGTCAATGCGCAATTAAGAGCATATATCGATGGGATTTTATTAAATATTGTTGAAAATTATCCACAACTGCTTGAGGTGAAACAAGCACACTAATTGTGGAACATTTATAAATAATTAGAAAATTTTGAAATGATCTTTGAAAATAGAAGGCATTGTACATTAAATTTCTTTACTGAAATTACTGTTTATACATTTATATAAATTATTCTACTATAGTTGTATACATATATGTACAAGATGACTCAAGTTTTTCAAATGAAAATTTGAGTAACGTATTCTGCGAGTTGTTCACAGAATGTTTTTCTATAATTTGGTCAAGAGAAAAAACATGAAAAACATGTGATATCCTGTACATGTATACACACATAAAAAATAATTCGGGAAAATAGTTTCCGTCCATATAAATTTAAAACTCTGTAATCTCTATGTGATGTGTGAAATTGAAACTTCGGACTGTCATCTTTGTCATTTGTATTATTTATTTTATTATATAATGGCAGGATGAGAGTAAATAGGTTGAAAGTGTGGCATTATTATTGCCAATTGTTTCAAATAATGAATGCGTATATTATATTAAGAAAGTACACAAAAGGCCTTCGTATATATTATTATTATTAATATTATTATTATTATTATCTCAAATTGAAAAGTTTTATGACATCGTAATCGACGAACTATCATCAAAGAAAAGATGTAATTATTCGTTATTGCACCTTTTTTCTTACCATTTTGGAAAGAACAATTATATTTGATAGTCAAGTATTTAATAATAATTCAATATGTGATAATGTATAGATGAATCCGATGTATCGATAATTTACAAAAATATCTTTTCATTTCATAGATTTCATGATGATACGTCGTAATGATAAAATGGTAAAGACCATTTTATCTAGGAGAAAGAAATACTATTTTCGGCTTGTAATTGATTGTGTGAATCGAATTTAATTTTTAAATAAATATCATTCGCGAGTTACCTATATAGACTTGACAAAGAGGTGATGTATGACTGCGTTATGTATCACGGCATCTGTGATACAAGAAATAGTACCTATTAAATTAATATTTAGTATTTTCACCTATAGAGTATTTTAGGTCTTTATACTGAAAGCTATTAAAGTTGCGAATAAATCGTTATATTTTGACGTCTCTAGTTATTGTCATTAACGCCATTTATAACATCATCCTATATGAAGTTAGTTATTTTATATTAATCACAGGCGGCGTGTCCATAGAAATCTTTTTTGAGAGGAATTTTGACACAGAGTTATATATTTTAAATAATTATATTGACTTTTATCGATATTTTAATTTAATAATAAATAATGATTTTATTCAATGTCAAGCTCCTCGTATATATATATGAGTGTGTATGTAAAATTATTATTTATTTTATTTATAAAAATTCAATTTCTCATTGTTGTATTATTTTACTATAAGATTTTTTATTATAATTTTTATTTTAGCAATATATTAATTTACTACATCCTATTTGGGTATACTTGAGGATGAGCTTCTGGTGGTCGAGCTATAAAATATTGGAAAATAATTAAAGTTAATAAAATCAAAACTGAAAGTATAGTATAATATAAACATATAAATATAAGTTTATTAATTATCAATGACTATACGTTTTGATAATCTTACTTGGACAAACACGAGGTTGAAATTTAATGTCATCGATAGCAAAGCCACCGTTACTAGCACTGCCTTTCAAAATAAGACGATACGGTGAACGTCCATCAATTGTTACTTGCGCTGCCATCCATACTGGTCTTGGATTATTAAATCCCTTTGCTGTTAATGACCATAACTATAGAAGAATGATTTCAATGTTAAATTAATATAAATCATATGTGCAAGTGTAAAAATGTTAAAACCAAAGTATTGGAAAAAACAAAACCAGAAATTATAACGAAGTAAAGAAGAAAATATACAATCAATACGTACCAATATTTCATCGTTACCATTTTCATTATTACCATTATTTGCATCTTCAATATCAGACGTTCTAATAATTTGTAACATTGTAGATTCTTCAACACCAAAAGCAGCAAACCAAAATGTGAAACAAGTGGACTCCTCATCAGTTGGTGTATTGATAATTGAAGAACGTAATTGTACCTCGGTGGATTTTTGATCAGCCGTGTATATATCAAAAAATATATAATCGCCTGTTGTCCCAAATGTTTTGTCTAAGAGCTGAGCTGGCCGGTGAGTAAGAAACGCTCGTTGCCAAGTGACACTACGATCATTAGTTGAAAGAGTAATGTTTTCCCATCCACATATTCCTTTCTCGAAACTACAATCCTCACTTCTAACAGAAGCAGCAGGTGGCCTTACTAACACAATTTGTTGCTTCATTATTACATACAAATCTTATATTCGTGATAATTAAATTTATATAATTTTTATTAATGTTTACCTATACAATTTCCAATGTAAAAGGATATATCATCAATCCCAATAATACCATTTGCTCTATTTGGACCCCATATACCTTCAAAATAGATATTGAAATTTTTTTTTTCATTAATATTCGTTTGCGCGTAATTCCAGGTAGGACCTTGATCATTGTATAATTGCCAAATAGGTCTGGGTTCTGCTGACGATTCGTCATTAGGTTGTATGTATATACGAAGAACACCTAAACTTGGTCCAGTAGAATCTATGAAAGACTCGAACATGATATACCAAAATGTAATACACAATGGATTATCAGAACCACTCATTTCACGACTAACGAGTTGAGCAATACCACCACCAAAGGATCCACTACGAGATTTGCCAAGTGTTAAGAAATATTCATTGTGTCTAGTGCCAGTATTTCCATTGCTATATGGTTTTCGTTGATTTCTAGAACTTAATACTTGATTGGAAACTCTTTCCCATTCGACACGATCCGGATCTCTGGTATTGATCCAGTCGCATTCGTCTACTTCAAAAGTACAATCTCTTGATATTGTTGCTGCTACTTGTGGATACACTGTACAAAGTCAATGAAAGGAAAAATTAATTATATTAAGTTTCAGGAACAGAATTAATTTTCATCTGTATTATATCTTACCAGGACAAGCACCATAAGTAAACGTAATGTCATCTATAGCGATATCTCCCATACCGGTATTTCCTACCGATGCTTCAAAAATTAATTGATAGTCATCCAAAGAGCCAATAGTTATTTGTGACATATACCAAGCATTACCAGCGTTCCCACTCAATCCCCAAATTTCTTGTAACACTGCATCGAGATCGCGAAAATGACGTAAGTAAAGTTTTAAATTGCCAATTCCTGTACCGAACATATGAAACCAGAAATGTATACAGATCGGTGCATCTGAATTGGTAGCTGGGAAACTGCTACTGATTAATCTTGCTGTATCACCAGGTCTACGTGGAAATCTAGAATCGATATAAGCGTAACCACCTGCTGTAGTTCGATCACTAGAGCTATCCATAGTTGGACCAGTCGCTGGGTTTCTACTACCTCGACTCTGAAAGGAATACAACGAAATAATTAAATCTTTCGATCTTTCGATAACAACAAATATTTCATTAAAACAAACATACTATGGTCCAATCAAAATTATCTTCGGCATCGTTGTTCCAGTCACAAAATCCACCTGCAAAGTTACAAAATCCAACACAGGAAGTTCCAGGTTGAAGATCGATATCATCGATCGCTATATATCCTCGAAAGAGGCGGGATGGATCAGTCGAATCAACGGGCATTGCTTCGATGATTAACTATGAAAAAATAACAACAATAACAATAATAATAATAATAATAGTAGTAGTAATAATAACAATAATAATAATAATAATAATAATAATAATAATAATAATAATAATAATAATAATAATAATAATAATAATAATAGTCCTAATGATTTGAAGAGTTATGAAGTAATATCTGAACAAGTATTTTTACCGAGTGTACGTCTGGATAAGTGTAAAGTATCTGAGCTTGCTGCCACATCTCAAGGTCATAATAATGAGCATGCCAAATAACACGTTCACTCTCAGTTTTAGCTGATTTACAAAATGGTATGGTAAAATTTTGAAAAGAAATTACATCGTCTGGTTCCTTTTTGATTGAGTATTCATCAAATCCCAAATGCAAGAGTACTCTCAATCCTGCGACACTAAGACCGTCCATAGAGTATTTAAACATAACACAAGTTCCTGAAACACCAGTACTTCCCAATTGAGGACTATGCAATCGAGCTCCAGAATTTTTGCTTGTTACTCCTTTCGATGGTGTTTGTGATGTCTCCACGAAAGCATACCTAAGTGATTATCACATTAATGAAAAATTCAGATAATTATAAGATTTATATTTGAATATGATCTCTTTGATAATTATAGACACAGACCCTCCTTCCATTGTATTGGTTGTAGAATCTGATGATGGCCCACCAAACCAATTAGTTCCTAAGCCAGATCCTGCCATCCAGTCTAATGAATCGCTACCATTTTGCCATTCGCAAAGAGACAATGATGGAAGTGGACCAAAATCACAGAAGACTTCGTCTATCATCGCAATTGAAAGTGGTATGCTAAATCTTGGATATCTGATAATGAAAACTATTTTTTTATTGTTAGTTTTTTAAAAATCTATTCATGCTATTATTGTCATCGTCATCGCCATCATCATCATCATCATCATCATCATCATCATCATCATCATCATCATCATCATCATTATTATTATTATTATTATTATTATTATTATTATTATTATTATTATTATTATTATTATTATTATTATTATTATTATTATTATTATTATTATAACATACCTCGTAAAATTTCGTTGCAACGATACACTAACGTTGAGAAATTTATTCGGTACTATAACGTTCGTAGTGGAAGGAATATCATTGCGAGGTAAAAGAACAGTAGATCTTCCTGGCCATTGCTGAAGATCGATACGTTCGACGTCATTCGAAGGATCGATATCACGATAAATGGGATTTAAAAAATGCTGAGCTTCTTTGTTCAAATCCTCAGATTCCAGAGTTTCGTACGTCGATATTTCCGTTGTAATATTTCTCGTATATGAATTAAGTGAAAAACTCATTACCCACGAACATCGACATAAATAATATAAAAGTAACACGGCGAATTGCATGTTGAAAATTTAAACAAATTTATTTTTTTATAACACAATCGTTCAATAGTTTAATACAAACATTTTGATAGAGGTTTTTTTAATATTCAATAATTAATTGTGTGTTAAAATAAATTTGTTTCTATTTTTATGCCACACAAAATTTGAGTTTTATTTTTTTGCAAAGGTAAGACTAATTCGTGATGAGCACGGTAATTCTAGATGGCAAGGTGTGAACTGAATACCATTGAAAAACTCGCTCCCTGACGCGGACAGGATCAAATGAAATTAACTCTCCACAGTTCCGGCCTTTATTTCCGGTTGTTGTTACTCTTCTCCCTTTAATACTTTGTCCGAACTTAACAGTCATTCGGTGAACAATAAAATGCCTTTCATGTTCTAGCGACATTTCACAATCGTACAAAAATTAACCATCTGTGACCATAACTGTAAAATTCGTTTTTAAAGGCATACATAAATAAATATTAAAGAAAAATACATAACTCTGGTATTGCACAGTTCACTAGGTAAATCAAAAATAAAAAAATAAAAACCTTACAAATTTGTTTGTCAAATAGTAAAAGCTTTTTTTTTTATAGAGAAATCAAATTACATTAAAATAAAAAGATAAATCTATACAATATGATCCGATTTTTTTATTTGCAAAGTCACATAAATAAATTTAATCTATATGTAAAATGTCATTTTGTATATATATAAAAAAAAGTTTTAATTGATAAAAAATATGGACGAATATGTATCTACTTTAAGATTTTATAAAACATTGAAAAAATCGAAGATTAAAATTTTCTTTATTCTGAAAAGAAAACTTTTGAATTCTGCCGAGATTTAAGTGAACTCGAGCGACGAATGGAACTAAGTAAGGACAAAGTAACAATTGATCGGTTCTCGGACGATAGGTCACTTGTTTCCTTAACATTTTTGATATCAATCGTATTGTCGAGATTGAAATATTCTTATCAAACGGTTTTGGTTTTTCATAGCACACCATTCTTGTGATCTCAGCTAGATCCTAAAATTGTTCGATCATCTGAAGTTATCGCTACTTACAAAAAATTAATTAATAAATTGTATTAATTACAGATGCAGAAAATGGTAGCTGCTTTGTCACCAATTCGTAAAGAATAACACCCATACTCCATACATCTGATTTTAAGTCGTACGGTTGATTCGAAAGCATTTCTGGAGCCATGTAGCAATAAGATCCAGCGCAACACATGGATTCCCTGAAGTATAAAAAAAGAATTCCATTACTGATTTATATAGGACCTAAGAACTCTTTAAAAATTACAAGATTCTTGTAAAAGAGTTTTGGAGTTGCTGGTAGGTTATTTTATAAAATTAACTGAAATAATACATCCAAAGGATTAATATTACATTAAATTATCTAATATCTTTAAGATTTTAAATTTATAAAATTTGCAGTAAAACAAAATGCAATAAGTCTTACTCATGTATATCTTTAGAAACACCAAAGTCACTAATTTTAACAATGTCTCCTTTACGTCCAGTCAACAAAATATTCTCAGGTTTCAAATCTCTATGAAGAATTTTCTTGGTATGTATATGATGAACTCCAAGAGTAATTTGTGAAAACAAATACAAAGCATTCTATGAAAATATTAATATTCTTAATTTTTATAATCTCACAATTTTAACAACATTATCTTATTTTATTTTGAAGAAAGAAAAAAAAAATTTACCTCTTCCATAAGCGGTACGTCGCGTTTTTCCAATAATTCTTTCAATGTACTATGAGTTGCATATTCCATAAGAATGTAACTTTTATTATTTTCAATCCAAGCTGCATGATAAGCAACAATGTTTGGATGTCTCATTTTTTGCAAATATTGTACTTCTCTCAAGGCTATCTGAAATATATTATATCATTTTTTGAATTTAAATGAATGATGAGTATAGTAACAATATATGCGAACTTACTTTAGATGATATATTATTTTTTATACTTAGATTCTGTTCCTTTATAACAAATGGTTTCAAGTCCTCTGTTCTTCTAACTAGATGAACAGTTCTGTTAACACGCACATACACATATATATCATATATTCTAAGAAATTGTCAATTTATGAAAATTAATATTTTTCTTACCCAAACATTCCCCTGCCCAATATAGCTTCGAACTTATATTTTTTGACACACGTATTCATTTTTATGTAATTATGTTTTCTTATTTGTTAATAATTGATATTTAGTTATGATATATAAACTTTTGTTTAACACACGACGTATAAATTTGTAAAATTGTATTCATAAATCATAACTTGATTTGGGGATTGTTTACAGAAAAATGTGATTATATACATTAAAAGTATTCTCTTATATACACTAAAGTACACTAATGACAATACGATGAAGGCAGAGGACACTTGATATTTATCATACATGTTATTTCTAAGCACAATTATCCTTGTTTATCATCTCTATTTATCTTATAACATTATACGAAATTTTGAATGTTCGATAAATTATAATAGGAAAGATTGTATAAGAGTAAGACGAATATTATAGGTAATAGTTTTTTTATTTACTTTTTTTCTTACAAATAATGCAATCATTACTTTTTCTGAAGCATTTTGACCTATTATGTTATAACAAGAGAACGTGTCACGATTATCAAAGAATATTTTTTTTTTTTCTATCCATTAAAAAGTCTGCTTTACGATGACAAAGAGAACAATGATAGCGATAATGTAGGATGAAGAAAGCATCCGTGACAATAATGAGAACTACCTGTAATCGATTGTTTAATATTTTTTGCTAATGCAAAGATTTTTGATTGTATTTTACTTTTTGGTTTGTTTTTCAACGAAAATTATATCTAATGTGAAAGATTCGTGTTAAAGTCTTTTAGACTAATATTTTTAATTAATAAAAACGCGTATATATCGTTTACCGTATATACTTTTTACTAACACAATTATTCGACGAAAGAATTGGACAGAGAAAATAAGAGAAGACAAAATGTCGATTTTATAATACACTCGAACGAAAGAAAGCAAACCACCTTACACCCTAGCATTAATGGGAGATTAGATGATACTGCGATATATAAATGTATATATCTTTTCTCTGACATTTTTAAATTTTTTTTCTCTATAACGAACCTCTTATACAGAAATTAACTATTATTAGATTCGGATATGATGTCATTTGCAGATGTACGTGATTGCTTTAAAGTATCCAAATATTCCTGCTGTGATGTCGCTAATACTTGCGAAAGAACATCGCTATCTTCCCAGTCTGTCAAACCTATAACATATTTACTATATTATTATGTGATGTTTAATGAAAATAAGTAGAATATAATATGAGACAATAGATAAGTTATTATTAAATAAAAAGTTTTAGATTTACGTATAAGTTTTACCAAATACTTCCGGAGGAAGACGATTGAACAGTGAAATATCAGGCGACGTATGTGCTTCCTTACTACTTCCTGGTACAGGTTCTTGTGGCATTATCTTTGTTTCAAACTCTGATGGTGGAAGATGAGTTATATTAGAACCTTGAGGAGATTGATGCTGTGGAGACCTCTTATACCATACAGTATCAGGGACCTGTAGATGTAATAAATTCTTTTTTTGTATTTCCTTCTAAAGTCACTAACCGTTATAATAACGTTTGGACCTTTGGAGAATTGCGCATAGTATCTTGGCTAGTTTGAGTGGTAGTTGGAGAAGAAGTATGACTGCGTTGTTGTCCACGATTTCCATGGGAATGAAAATGTGCATGGCTATGCTGTGCACTTGTAACCGTACTTGTACTGCTGCTACTTGCTGATCGCTAAATTAAAAATAAATATGTCAATTCAATATTGTTTAAAAATTCTTAATTTTAATTATATATATATATTGTACTTACGGCTTTACGCATTTCATTATCTCGTAACCATTGTAAATAACTTTCTCTAGCAACTTGTTCTTCTATTGCTTCATTGGTCGCTTCCCAATCAGTAGCTTTTATTTTATCTTCAAGCATTGTCTGTTACAAGATAATATATGTTCATATAATTTATAACAAGATTTAATCATTTTCTACTTAGATAAAAGATTGATTTAATTTACCTGTTCAATATGTAACTCTTCACTTTGCCGAACTGCATCTGATATAAGCTCACGATCGGCAGAACCAGGATTGAATGATGGTAATCCTAATCCAACACCAATGGTAGCTTTATATGGATCTACTATACTGTTATAATGACTCCCACGTTGATATGACAATCGTATAGGTTCATTGTCACTCTTTACCATTGTATGGAAAATATTAATAGGTTCTATAATATAACATTTTAAAATTGTGAAATCTATTTTTTTATATACTTATTAATAAGACGTAAAACAAATGATTCATAATACCAGTGCTATAACAAAACAGTTGTATACTACGGTTATACATTTCAGACATAGCCTGCATTTCTATATGGTTTCCATGCACATACTCCTGCCTTTTTCTATCCACATATGTAGTAAAATCTTCGGCTACAAAATGGGAAAAGAATTCTTGATTGGAAGCCTAAAACATAATATCAAAAGAATTTGCATATACAAAAAGGGAAAAATGCTTTTATTAATTTTACGGGTAATTTGTACCTATTTTAAATATTATCGCCGAATAATACTTACAATATAATCCATGCAATGTTTTCGCACAATTCCATGCATCTCTTGATCACCATAAACTTGATCCGCAACTGCTCTAAATAAACATGCACCATCTTCGCCCATCTTTTTCACAATAAATCCCATTTTCCGCATACGTTTTTCAAACCATTTATCACGCTATATTTGTAAAAACATTTAATTATACTGCCATACGTGCGTATTATTTATTATACGCACGAAAAAACTAACTAACCTCTTGCCATTCTGCTAACGTAAGATTATTTCCAGTTCGTCCTGTATATTCGTCTCCGCTATTGTAACCATTTGCAAGTTCATCTAAATTTGATGCACTACCTACAATACTCATTCGATTGTTGCTTATAACTGCACCATCTGAACCTAGGAAAAGAATTAATTTTTTTTTTTATAAAATTTATAAAAAATTTTATGTGCTTCAATGTCATCTTCACTAACCTTGTAAACCACTACATGAAGCTGCAGGTGGTGTTGCTTGCCTTTCCCTGTCTCTTTCTCTTTCTCTTTCTCGTCCTCTATCCCTTTCTCGTTCTCTCTTGGAACGTGAACTTCTTCCGATGCAGCTGCTATGAAATTAGGCAGAATTTTATTGATAAAATTATAATCAAATAAACTACAATTAATATAAATGTGATTAATTATTCAATACCTATGAGGACTAGCTCTTTGTCGATGACGCTTGCCATGGCTTGGTCCACTAGAATCTTCAAAATGCTTTTCTTCTCGCCGATCTACTGTTGCCTATAATAATGATTTTCTTTTATTGCTATTATTTATCTTAATATTATCAAAAATGTTTTTATTAAATGAAAAAAGTTCAGTAAAGAATCACAATATATTTGTAATTCTCATATTTATACATATATTGATTACTCAACTTTTTTGGTTTTAAATGTAACTGAGGATAATAGAATAGATTGAATGTAGCAATTTGTCATCAATAAACTTTCCACTTCTTCTCACCTCATATGAGCCACTGGTAAGAACGATAGGGCCAGAACCATGATCACCTTGTACGGTATGAAGATCAACAGCAAATCCATTAGCTCCACGCACCTGTTATAAAAAAAATCATAGTGCACAGATATTTTTTATACCGGTTAATAATGCAACATAGAAAGGGCATGATAAAAGTCATAATCTATACCTGATATGGTGTGTTTGGTAGAGCAATAGAAGTAGAATTATGTTCATTTTGTACACCATGAACGTCGACTTCCGAATTATTACTTCCCTCACGTCTGTCTTTTGACGCATTCGTTTTCTTCTTCGATAAAATTGTCATTTTGAAGGATGAACTTTAATTTCTTACGAATTTTTGACAATTTATTCAAGTAACACTTATGTATATGACGCATTCAACACAGAACTATTGCACATTACACATACTAATTGCCGAAGGTCGTAAACTTCGTTGCTTCGCAATCGTGACTATCACCATCCATTTACAATTTCACGATGAAATCTACTAATCACTTATTGAGTTCTTGAAATTTTTTTTAACTATTCAGATGTTAATTATACTTGTGGATATGTAAAAACAACATTACCCTATCGAATAACTACAACATGGTTTGTTTGACAATCACTTGCGACCTTCAATTCGATTCAATTCCTGTTTTCTCTACTGTTTTGTCTACCAGCCATTTTTCTCCAAAAGCACAGACTATTATAGTGAACTTAGCAAAAGCGAAAAGGAAGAATGACGAAGAACCAATCAGAAATAGGATATGGTTACCGATCCTTTGTTATTTTTTTCTTATAACCAAAATTCAATCTAATATAACTATAATTTCTTACCTCAATTAATTTTAATCTACTTAAAAATAGTTTATAGCTTTTGTATACTTCGTTCGAATTATTTATTTTATCTCTTTGATATATATATTTAAGTCACTGTTTACAATGATCACAGAACGAATCAGTCAGTTTATAGATACGTCACTTTTTCTATGATCATGCAGGAATTAACCAATAAAAATACACATGATAAAAACTCGTTAATTTCTATGATAAAAATAATATATAAATGTGAAATAATTTGCAAGTAAAGATTGAATTAGTTTATAACATTTTTTCTCGATCTTTTTTATATCACATGTGTTAAAAACTATACGATTAATTCAGACAGTAGACGTCCAATCAAATTATAGCCGCCATGATATCTTTTCCTTGCATTCTATCAACATTCTAAGTCAGATATTGGAATACTTACATTTTCAACTTCTCCAAACCCTGCTTTGTGAGTTTTTTTCCCATCAAAATCTCGCACAGGATTACATGATAATATTCAGGTATAAGATCAGAATTTTCTTTTTCCATACGAATTATATATTTCACGATTATATCGAATAATTTATTCAAATAAATGCACACGTAAAGGATCCATTAGTATTTACGCGCGTAAATGTAGTCAATTGATTAACAGATTTGGTGCTTTGACCTTTGATTTATTTCATGCAAATTAATTATAAGAATAAAATCTAAGTATTTAATTAAATTAATAAGATCCTTGAATTTCTATACAAATATATGTTAAGGTTGATTTAGAAAGATAAGCCTATTATTTAATTTGTTCTTAGTAATTTTTCTACATTAACGTCTGAACCTTATGAAATAATAAGAAACATTTGTCTTATCTGTTTAGGTATTTCCTTAATTCAGGATAGGACTTAAGTACGTAAGAATCTTTATATAATATAGTAAAACCGAAGTGATCGATATTATTTCCGATATAACTGGGATAATATGATATGTTAAAAATACTATCGAACAATTGATCGATTATGGCTATTATACCATTCATTACATTCTATAATTATATAATTTTAATACAAAGGTTCGTATCTAAGTTTATACAATAAATTTATTGCATAATTTTTAATCGACATTATCTCATAATAAATATTATATATATATATAATAAATATTATATATATAATATTTATTATCAGATTTTATATATATATATATATATATATATATATATATATATATATAATAAAAATCAGTGATATATCGTAGAACACTAGTCGGTAATGTAGATCTCTAGAGGAAAGATGATAAAGACGATTTGAAAGAATGAGATCGAGGTCAGAAATGTTCGTACTCTCTATTAAATCCTATCATGAGGAATGACGTAACACGAATATATATCATCCAGTTAATTGCGTAGGTATCCCTTAATTTGGTATATCTCACTGAATTATACTTGACGACCATGGTAGACAACCAGTAAGAAGGATACGTCGCGATAATTCATATATTAAAAGGAACACTGTACTCCAACAAACAATATATATATATATATATACGTTTACATATATTTGCTGACTGCAGAAAATTCAAGGAGAGTAAAAGGTAGATGGATTATCGGATAGATCGTTTTATAAATCGTTTTTTCGAGTACCCTAATTTTTTGTAAGTTTCGTTAAAACAAATAAGAATGATAGCAACAGAGAGAAAGAGAGAGAGAGAGAGAGAGAGAGAGAGAGAGAGAGAGAGAGAGAGAGAGAGAGAGAGAGAGAGAGAGAGAGAAAAGCAAGAGTGAGAAAATAAGAAGTTTCGACGTAATAGGGAACGAGAGCTTTATTGATGATTGCTTAAAAATCGCAAGAGCGAGATATTCACCTTCGTTCCAACCACCTACGCTTCATCACCCCGACTATCCCTGACGGTTTGTTCGACTCCCTTCCCTTACCAACCCTCGCTACCCCAGTACTATTGCTGAATGGTCCAAGGGTGGGGATACCCCTTTCGCCACCCACACAATCAATAGTAAGGCCTACAGCTTCTCTGAATGGACTTGGCCGTTCTCGTTCCCGTTCCCGTTCCCACAGCGCCATGTCTACCCCGTCCCCCCTGTATTGATTACTACGCCTGCGGCTGATCTCCGCATGACTACGCGGGGAGTTGCTCTATCGACCTATTCAGCTGCATTACACTTCATTCATGAACACTTTGCTTTTCGCACACAATTATTATCGATATATCATACACGTGAAATTAGTTTCCCTCTCCCAATCATCCCTTCCCTCATTCCTCTTTCTTCACCCTTCTCTCTTTTTCTTTCTCTCTGTTTCTCTCTCTCTCTCTCTCTCTCTCACTCTCTGTCTCTGAGATTTTCATTCATACTTTCTTTTTATTCTACCCACGCTCTTCACAATACCTTTTATTTGATATTTCTTGTTCAATTTTGAATATAGTTTGAAATTATATTTCTACACTTAGCTGTTTCTTCTTTCTCAAGGATATGGAAAATGTGGAAAATCTACAAAGATAAGAATTCATTCGAATGATCAATAGGAACAATGAAAGCGATCGTTTCTATGCAAATGAATCGTATATCGATAGATCGACAAATGTTACGATAATATGGCAACGACGTTCGTCATTTCGATGACCTCGCTGTCTTGAATCAATTGCTTTGAAAATAGTACTAACTGAGAGGAAGATCTCATCTTATACATATATATATATATATATATATATATATATATATATATATATAAATGTACATGTACACACACACATACAGAGAGACGTATATGTAAGACGAAGGTAAGCGTTTTTGATGGAAAAGTATATTTGTGTGCGTCTTTTGAGCGTGGGTAGTTGTCGAAATTATTTGCATACGGAGATATGCGGTAAAGAAGAGGGTCTGTTGGAACTAGCATTTATTAGTTTGGTAAAGGTCATTCCTTTTTTTCATTTTTCCTTTTTTTCTTTTCTTTTATTTTCTTTTTCCTTCGTTCATTCTAACCGTGACATCAGACAATATTAATTTTAAAATTCTTTATTGTCACATCAATCGTGATTGTACTACATTGCTTTGTAATAATTAATAATTAAAAATAACTAGAAGGAATAAAACAAAAGATCGTAATTAATTCTCTCTCATGTAGAAAAGTTCCTTTTCAATATGCATGCATAAAGAGAAATGCAATTGTATTAGCTGTATATATATATATATATATATATATACCTATATATCGGCTCTGGCTTTTTCCTTTTTTCCCCATCTGTGATATCTATTGACAGTTCCATTCCATTCTAATTTATCGAGATCACCGTTATACATTGATCGTGTTACAAACGAGAATCAGATTTTTCAATCTTCTATCATATTCTCATTTTATTATTTTCTTCCCTTTTTTTTTTTTAATTTTTTCTTTTTTTCAGTTACTTCACCATTTAACTTTTCCGATCGTTCTCGCGCGAATAAAATCGGAAAAAAAGTTCTATTCAATCATATTTACGAAGAGAAAAATTTTTTTCTCTTTCTTTCTCTCTCTCTCTCTTCCTCTCTCCTCCCCCCCGCCGCCCTCTCTCTCTCTTTTTTATAGTTACGTCATTTGGACAAAAACGAAATTTCATCTAGCACATAGAATTTCGATCTTTTTTTCCTTATTTCTTTTTTTTTTTCTACGTCTCCGAGAAAAATCGTTCGATTACTTCGAATAACGTAGCGATAAATTAGAAGGTATTTTCTATTATTGTCTAGTAGTTTTTCATTGAATCACGTTCACGCAATTAAATGTCAACGTGGAATCATTCGTCCATGAATATCTATAGAATACAACGCAACCAAGCGATTTCCGTTTAATCAATTCCTTGTCTTTTTCGCATTAAATTGAACCGAATATCAATTGGAATCGAAATGAAATCGTATTAAATCTATTTAAAGTCTAATTAAACTCGATATTTCTAATCAGTCAGGATCGATCGTTTCGTTGATTTAAAATGTGTTCTTAGAGTGAGGTAGAGGGGATCTTCGAAATGTTATTTATATCACCGATGAGAGCGAGTATCAGTTTTCCGCTAGATTTGAAAGAAGATTTTCGGGGAAAATTCGTTAATGGTATGAGGAAAGGAAAGGGAGGAACAAGAAGAAAGGAAGGGACTGGGAGGATAAGAGGGAGGAAAGACAGAGATAGATGGATAGGGTGAAAGAGGAGGAAAAGAAGGATGGGCGAATAAGAGTAGGTAGTCTGAGAAAGGGCTGAATGAAATAAAAGGAATAGAGAGATGGCAGAGTTGAAGGAAGGGAGAGAACTAGAGGGTGATAGTAAAAGAAGAAAACTTGAATTTGTGGTGGTTGTTCGGCATGTGGGGGGTGGGGGAAGAAAGAGAGAGAGAGAGAGAGAAAAGGGAAAGAGAGAGAGAGAGTGTAAGGATTCCGTAAATGTGGAGGCGGTATCCTAAAGGGTGAGGTAGTGGAGGGTGGCATGATGGTACCGGAGGTGGTGGAAGCGCGTATGCTCGCTTCAGCACTGCCACCTCTCATCGTCAGTTGCTACTTGGTTTCCGGACTCTGCGGACAGGCAGGTTAGTGAATTCAACCTCGTTCAAGTCTCGTTCATTCACCGGTACGATATTTCCTACCTCCCTCGCTCTTTCACGACCCTTGTCTTTCTCTTTCTCTCTCTTTCTCTGTCTTTCTCTCTCTCTCTCTCTCTTTCTCTCTCTCTCTTTCTCTCTCTCTGTATTTCTGGTACTTCTTTTTTTTTTATTAATTTTCTTATCTTCTCAAATTTCTAAACTTTCCTTTCCTTTCCTTTTCTATTCTAATTGATTTTTATCAATATAATTATTTTCTAATGAATTTTCTAACTCTTTTGGTTTCATATCGTTTTGATCATGACGTTGGTAAAAACTATGAAATATGTCATTCTTTTCTAATCACTGGGATGTTAGGATCTTTCGAAGTAACGATTGACGATTGCTTGATTATTTTCTTTATTTTCTTTATTTCTTTGTGGAATTATTGTGCATTCGTTTCTGTCGAAATTTGTCTCCTTTCTTTTCTCTCTCTTTTTTTCTTTTATTCATTTATTATTATTTTTTCTTTTTTTTTTCTTTTTTTTTTTTTTTTTTTTTTTAAATACATATTTCAATACGAATTAATAGTTCTTCTTTAATTCGATAGTATCCATTTCGTGAAATTTTATAAAATGCTTTAGGTAATATCGTAAAAAAAAATGCTGATTCACTTATGGCGTTCTATATTCAGCTCGCAACAAGTTATCGTTTCACGAATTTTCCGTGATATCGATTAATAACTTATTTGACAGAGATTGAATATTCTTAATTAAATATACAATCAAATTGATCTTTCTATTAACATATTAACAGCACAATTGATTCGCAAAGAAGATAGGTCAATATAATATAAAAAATTATGTCAATTTAACTAAAACGTTAAAGTAATATTTTAATTGAATTAATTGATAAATTTCATGATAAATATTCATATTAATAATTCATGAATTCCTCTCTCTCTCTCTCTCTCTCTCTCTCTCTCTCTCTCTCTCTCTCTCTCTCTCTCTCTCTTTTCTTTCTTCGTTATATTTAATAAAATGTATGAGTCCAAATTTATTTTGCTCAGGTTTACGTTATTAAACAATGTCTGCTTTGTGTAATTCTAATAATGTATCAATGAAAGAGACATTCTCTCTAAGCTTATAATAAATCCTCAAACTATTAACTTAAATTTATTTTATCTCTCGATCCTACGTAATCGAATACTCTCTCTTCTTAAGTGCATAGTTCCACAGGTACTATGCGGTATTGATCCACGGAAAAGATTAAATTTCTCGCTATTATATTTAAAGTTTTCTTATTAATCATTTTTATATTCTATTCTGAGACGAGCTCATTCATTAATATTCCAATTTTAACGAACTGATTATTCTAATACATTCATAATTTTCATTATATTTCTTCTTCTTTGAACATATTTCAATAATTTTTTTTTTTTTTTTTTTTTTATAAAATCATCAATATAGAAACCATGTAAAGATTTATTTAATTAAACGATTTTTATTATTTTCTATAATTTTTCTTTAAAAATATCAGAAACTCAATCATCCCTCTCACCTACATAACTTTTGTTACAGATTTGTTCGGTTGACGCTGCATATCTTACAACATATCTACAATCAAGACAAATAGAGTAACCATTAATCAGAGACGGAGGTCAGAAGCGAAGAGGACTTAAGTTATTAGATCGGTATGAAAACGATATTACGGAGTCGGAACGCGTAACTTCTAGTCACTTGTAAAAATCAAACTATTCATTCATAAAAGCTAAAGCTATTTAACATTAAATAAGAAAAAATAAGCTTTCGATCGATCTTTGAGTTTCGTAAATGATTGCTCTTCGTTTCTTATAATACTATCGATTATAAAAAAAAAAGGAAATAGAAAAACAAAAAAGAATGTTATCATTATAACAAATTTCTGATGCTTTCTGAAAGTGGCTTAAAATAGTATAAAACTTCATTTTGCTTACAAATACATTTTCATACATAATGTATATATATATATATATATATAAAAGTATATATATATATATATATATATATATATAAAAGTATATATATATATATATATATATATATATATATATAAAAGTATATATATATATATATATATATATATATATATATATATATATATACGTTGTATTTATATTTATTATCATATAGTATCGACAAATATTGCATTCATATGTATATATATATATGTAGAATGTTTGTTTTGCTGAACTTCGCCAGTATATTTTAGAAATTAAAAAAAAATAAATATAAACTTAGAAATGCTTTATTAAAAAATCATAACAAAAATTAAATGCAACTTATTATATTAATAATAAGAATGTAATTTTTGTTATAATTTTTTAATGAAGCATTTGTAATTATACTGTTTAATATTTTTCTTATTTCTACTTATAAAACATGCTGGTATAATTTGGTGAGAAAAAACTTGAAAAATCCTGTATATATAATATTTACATATAGTATTTAGTAATACCATTTTAATGTAATTATTTAGTATATTACATGTACATAAATTCATATTATACTTATATCTATATTATATATATATATATATATATATATATATATATATATATATAATATATATATATATATATATGCATGAGTGAAATATTGGACGAGTGGTGATATTTGATTGATTTTTCAGAACATGTATATGACGGCTCTATGGATCGCTTTTATTTTTGCTCAGTCGAGCAGATTGCTCGTCGAGGGCATCAGATCGCACTATGTCGATTCAACGCAAATCGCGGAGATCAACGAAATGGGCGATAACCCTGCGGATAATAGAGAACCGACGTGCAAAGAATTACGCACGATGTGGAGGTATACCAAACGCCAAAGTAGAGCCATCCAAATTATGCATAAACTTCCATTCGCACAAGACTTCTTCGCGTATAATCCGTGGAAGAATTATCAGCCTCCTCCTCAACCCCCTCTTGACTATCGAGGTGAGAGACCTATCAAACTGGCGGAAAACTTTTATATCCATAAACTTATATATTATAAGTATATATACTTGCATATACATATATATATATATATATATGTTGTATTTATATTTATTATCATATAATATTTCACTCTTATCACTTCAAGAATATTATAACCTGTTCGCCTTTAAAAAATTTTATGCTAAAAAAAGGTACATAATTTTTATATAAGATAGTTGTTTATTTACTGAAAATATTTGCTGAATAATGCGTGAATATAAATATAAAAAAAAAAAAAAAACTACACTTGGCAACATTATTATCGGTTGGAGTGGTAAGAATTAGCTCTTTGTACACTATAGGCATCGAAATTGTACTTTATAATATAAAGTACAATTAAGTTTTATATTCCTATATATTTAATTGTATAGGATTTAAGAACTACGAAATTCCTATAGAGAAGTCTTGAAATTGTTGATTAATATTATATTACAAAATTAACTGGAGTACAAAGGGTTAAATTTAATGATGTCAAAGATTTATATATTACGACAGGAGTGTTCTATATTTATTCATATTGCTTCGACACGTAACGTAAGATTCATTTACAGAAATGAACCTAATCGAGAGAAACGAATGAATGAATAATGAGCGAACGAACGGGTGGGTTACTCAAACTCGATTTACGTTAGTTGATTTCTAGTCAAGAAAACGGAGGAAGGCATACAATTGGATCGAGCAGCAGGCTAGTGTTCGAAAGTCATTAGTAAAACCACTATGCACGCATTAAGCTCCGTGATGCACCACTCGATATATTTCGTATATTTGATATATTTTCACTTTTAGATACTTTAAAAATTCTTCAAATTCATTTCAAAATTCGATTATTTCTTTTTTTCTCTTGCCAAAAGGAAAATCAATTAACGAAATTATTCTGTATATTATTTGATCTGCATTCGATATAACAAGCGGGCGCGGAAAGCACTTAATATTTTTACTTGTTGCGCGATGGACGACGCATTTCATTCGTTTGCACACACAAATTGAAAGCAATTGCTTCTTTCTATTTCTCTATGTTTCTCTCTTTTTTTCACACACTCACTCTCTCTCTCTCTCTCTCTCTTTCTCTCTCTCTCTCTCTCTCTCTCTCTCTCTCTCTTTCTCTCTCTCTCTCTCTCTCTCTCTCTCTCTCTCTCTCTCTTTCCCCCCTATTTTTTTCACTTTTACTTTGTGTTGCCTACGAACAACAAGTATACAAATATTTCCATTATGAATTTGTTAATAACGAATTTATTTCTTTTTTTTTCTTTTTTTGAGAAGCTTTTTTTCACTACAAAGGATTATAGAAAAAAAGTTTTTTATTAAAAAACAACGAACGTTAACGTTGGTAATGGATTATATAATAACTTTTAGAAAAGTTCAATGATAAAGATAAAGGTAAAGGATAAAAATAAATTCATTATAAAAGTAATCAGAAAAAAAATTTATAGACTTGTCATCAATAGATTCTGAAGAAATTAACAAATAAAAGAAATAAATCTTATAAAGTTTGTAATACTGAGCTTAAAGGGAAGTATCGTTGTACTTTGTCGCACAGCACCAAGATTTCACTTAATACGTTTTTCTTTTTGTTCTTTCAAAAAATAGCACCATGCGTATATAATGCCTATACGCCTATTGTTTACAATAAAAATTTTTATTAAAAAAAAATGAAGTTTCTCGTTATTTTTTAACAGATTATACCGATCGACCTCGTACTCGTGCTGCTGGTAGTTCACCACCTATTTATGGAAGAATAGTACATAAAGCACCGCCAGGAAGTAGACTGCGAAGCAGCCAACAAATGCCACACCAACCTAAGGCCTTTGAAGATGTTGCATATTTGTATGGGACAATAAATTTTCATCCACCCTCTTCCCGACGTCGACAATCGAGTTTTCGTATTGGTGGTGGTGCCTCCCCGCCTATATCTCAAGTTCCGCAAGCTGGTAAATTTCAACATTTACGAGACCTAATTCGTGGGGAGAGGGCTCGTGAATTGAAGGTCTGTATACGTCAAATGTTATCTGTTAAAAAAACAAGATAATAATAATAAACATATAAAAGATAAAAAATAACAAAGAAATAAAAATATATGCCTCCAAACATAAAACTTTGACAGAAGTATAAATTGAAATTTTACTCAAAAGAAAAAAAGGAAAAAAGAAAATCAAAACGAATTTATAATCAACGTGTTTCTTCTCTTTTTTATTATAAATTTTTTTTGTTCGTTCATTTCAGAAACAACATGAATCTGATAGAATCGCAGCTGCGAAAGCGGCGACAATCAAGGATTATTCTAACGGTGATCAAGATGATTATCAAAATGTACCACGGCCGCGGAAATACTTTGGAAACTCATTAGATGGATATCAGCAATTTAGAAATCCAAAGGCTGATATCAACCGGGCTTGGTCGGTAAGTTAAAATAGTCTTTTTTCTCTCCATTATCATTATAAAGTTATAATAAATATATGCAAATATATGTATATGAATTATGCATCTATAACAGATTGCTTATTTAGTCTATTAATCAAATAATTTAATTATTTGGGGAGTTATATATGATTTTGTTTTATTTCTTTTTTATCCAATATAATAGAAATATCAAAAATATAATATTTGCAAAAATAATATGTTGAGCGATGTAATATTGTTAATACGATAACGATAGTAAAATAAAAAAAGTTTACGAAGTAAAAAAACTTGATCTATTCTTTACAGCGTGGCGATCATTATTTGCCAGAATATATGCTGCGTTAATGAAGCATTTTCAAGATCAAGGAAATAGCCGACGAAAAAACTGCCGTACGTTTCAATATCATCACTCGTACTATTCTTGGCAGTATTATAGCCCAATTGTTTGATTTTGTCAAAGTTGGATGAATTCCAAGATCTTAAAAAATATTTTCGAAATCACGAAGAAAGTGTATATGTATATGTGTATGTGTGTATGTGTATGTATGCATGCTTGCATGTATGTGTGTATATTATATATAACACTCTCAAAATATTTCAGTTCCTAATCTATGCATATACACACACGTATATATGCACGCACGCACGCACGCGCACGCACACACGTACACATTCACACTTACACGTACATAAATGCGTACAGCACACAACACATACACATACATATACACGAATACGTTTGACGAATTTATTAAGATAAATAGCAAGAAACTTGAAAAATTAAATTTATCATCTTTTACTTTTACATGAATTCATCCTGAATGTATATATATATATATACATAATTCATTATTATTATACATATAAATTCATTCAGGATGATTTTATGTATATTACATATTCCCTGACAATATACTTGTATATTTAATTGTAAAACATTCGAATGAGCAAAGGATTTACCTGCATTCGAGAACGTACATATATACATATATATATATATATATATATATATATATATATATATATATATATATATATATCAATACACCGTGTAAATGGTAAAAACTAATCAAAGTGTGATATCCTTAAATAGGACATCTATTACACAAATCAATAACAGTATGCCGAATATATCAAGCTCTCATTATCCGATAGAAATATAATAACTGTCTTTTCTTGCATTGTCTATTAAGAAGATATCATAATGTATTCGCAATTCTTACGTTTCTCATCTTTCTATTTATTGAAAACAATAAATTATTATTCGATTCTTACTAAAATGTTCAAAAAAAAACAAAAAAAAAAAAAAAAAATAATAATAATGACAATACAATCCAATTTGCAATATTCTTTATACTATTCTCGTGTAATTCATTTTAAGCAAAAAAAGAAATTATATATTAAACTGACGATTTTTTATGAGAGCTCAATTGTTCGATAGAGGAACATTAGACTCTGACAAAATATAATCAAATGAAATAAAAAATCCTTACTTCTTTCGCATCTTTAATGATATTTACATAATATGTGGACAATAAAAAATATAGTGATATTTACATTTATAGTATACTTAACTCTATACATATATATTGAAATTACTACGGTACATCCTTTTAAAAACCAAGTGATTGCAGTACACTATTTGCGTGTATTTGAACTGCAAAAAGACAATAATTATTCTTAAGACAAAGCTTGTAAAAAGCATGTAAGTAATGTAATTGCAAATTCTCATTATATTCATGTACAAAGCTTGTACAATTTGACAATGCAAGAATGTATAAGAAATAGTTACCTACTCTCAGGATACATTTTTTCCAATGAATTATATATTAATTTTCATTTTATTTTGACTGCATGTAGACGATATCTCTAAAGTTTTTATTTCTTTTTGTAATCATTTTGACATAATATTATGCACGAAAATGCATTTTTATGTACGAGTGTTTAATTCATTGCAATTGTCTATTTTTTGAATATAAATATCTCGAGATTTGTCTTTTCAAAAGAGATGTATACTCTAGTATTGTTTATACGATAACAATAGCTAATTGAATTTTTATCTTTATTCTTACAAGCTCATATGTATATTCAATACACAAAGACACATACATGCGTATCTATCAAAATATACAAATTCACAACATTTTTATTCTTTCATTATAATTTGTAGTAGACATGACTTATTATTGTCAGTGCCTGATACACTTTTTGAGACTGTTCTCTAAAAATTATTATAATAAAATTACAAGGAAAAAAAAAGAATAATACAAAATCTTAATGGCACACGATTGGTTACATATTCAATACATACAGTCAAACACTAACATAAATAAACATTGACATTATAAATGAGAGCAATGGGATCTTAGAGAATGAATAAAAAGCTTACATTATGCCTTATAAACGACAATATTATCTGCATAATACAAATCTTGCTTACTTACATGGATACATTATACAAATTCAATGTATACTGCTGTATCTGAAGAGTAATTTAATTAACAATTTGTAGTTATATGCGCACGCGCGCGTTTACACATATCGTACGTACATGTGTATTCGCACTCATTAATAAATGCCGCGTAAACGTGTTCGATATTATTACAATAATACTATGACTGAGTTCGCAAAAAAAAAATTACACACGCACGCGCGAACATACACAAATCGCAATTTATATACGATCATTTTTGTTAGCTGCATTAGAATAAGTATATTGAAATTTTATTAAATTAATTATTCAAATAATATATTTATTTAATTTTTTTTTCTTTTTAATTTATTTATCTCTATATTTTTGTTGAATTTTTTTTTATAAATAATTTATAAGACAATTAAAATTATTCTTTAAGAAGTTAAAGATGTTATTAAATTAAAGATATTAAGATTAATAGAATTTATTAAGTTCGTTAATTTGTTGCTAAAGTGTAATTATTTATTATATGTTAGTAATTCCGAATCTAAAATAATACGCAACTACTCAGGTTTTTCGCCTGAAAAGCTTTATCAATTAGTGAATAAGGCTATGTATGCCTACAATAAAATGTAACAAATTACAAATATATGACAATAAAATTAAATATAGATGATACAATAAGGAAAGTGTAATCTAAGCGTGTTGCGTTCCATGATGTAGTTGTGCGCGCCATTTGTTATTGTTAGGTACAAGACTGGGCACATCATATAATAATTATATAGCGAAAGAAATCATGTAGATATTACTTTACAGTGTTAAAATATTCATTATTTATTTCTTATGTATGTTAGACAAAGTTAATTGAAATTGAAAACAGAGAAATATAAAAAACTTTTAAACATTCATGAGATCCAAAGTTCATATATCATAATTTATCTATTTTCTGATTAATTCATTTCACATTTATTCATTAAAATATATTAAATGTATATTTTTATTGTAGAAGACATAAAAATATACTTAACTTATCAATTATAATTATGTTATATTATCGTAATAATACGTAATTATAATTTAAATTTTATTTAGGAACATTAATTTTACCGACAATCTAATTTATTATAAAGTTTACAAAAATGCAATCTAAAATACTGACAATAATTAACAATAAAAGAAAATTAAAGTTAATGAATTAATAATATTATTAATTAAGACAAATAAAAAGCATGCTTAAAATAATCATATTTTCTTTGTATAATGGCGTTGCAATATATGCATCTCTTAAAATCAATGATAGCTTTGATTCTTCTTTATAAATTTTTATTTATAATATACAACTGTCTTACTATTGTTATTAATGAAGAAAACAAAATATATATATTACATATGCTTTCCGTATATTTTTTATAGAATACTATATTTGTTTAAATGATAACTTGTAATCTATATATTTTATATGCATTTAAATGTAAATATGAATATATATTTCATTTAGTATGAATAGAATAAAATTACCTTTATTACACCATGCACAACACTGTATTTTCGTGCAGAATATGAAAAGATCCAAATTTTATCAAGATTATAACTTACATTTATGGTGTCTATTCTGATTTCCATATATGATAAAATTCTTGATTCTATTTTAGAATAAGCAATGTTTGGGCAATATTTATTAATAAAATTTCAAGGATTTTTGTGCAAGTATATAAAAGAAAATATTTACACAAGCATTTCATATGTCATTCTTCTTTATTGCGCTCTCAACATATTAAACTCAATGTAATCTTGCCTTTAAATATAACACATTTTATTATGTAAGAAGAGGAGAATAATGAATGACCAGATTACTTAATGTCAATAAAATCAAGGAGAAGATGTCAATATTATTATATCATATAAAAACGTATCTATGCAAATATTCATAAATCAATGTGTATAGCTGGCTTTACTTATTGTAATTTCTTCGTGTCACTATACTTATAGATTTAGCTACTGAACTTTGATATAACATATAGAAAGCTTAAAATTAGAGAATTATCCACTCGTTCCACGATATACGATGAATTGTTATTTATTTTCTTAGTTAGAAACAGTTATAAGTACATCATTATGATATTTTAGAAGCTGCTTTCGAAAATAGTTAATCTCTTAAATTTCTCTTACTCGCTATTAAACAATATATGTACGCAGTACACAAAATACATTTTTTAGCAAAAGTAACTTCACACTGACTGTGTATGCATGTGAGTGTGCATCTGTGTATGCTGCACATTTTGTATATCACACTCAACTATAAGCAAATAAATTTTATCTTAATACATGGGAAAGAAATGCTTATTGTTAGCTTGCGATTATAGTTATTAAGATAAAATTACTATACGCATATATATGTTTCAGAGTCCAATATAAAATTGCGATCTATTCGGTATAATTCAATAAATCGTGAACGGTATAATTCGTATATGTAAGCAAATATATTAGTCTTTTTTTTATGCCCGGATCTTTGTTAAATGTATTTTTCATTTTTGATTATATTTACAATATATTTTATCGTTTATTAAATCACAAAGAATATATGCTCCAAATAAACAGAGTATATTTTTAAATAAAGAAAAGTATAATAAAACTACTTTAAAAATGATAAGATTTTTAAATAATTTGTTAAATTGTTACAGTATATACAATGAACACTTTTTATAATTCTTATTATAAGCAAAATATTTATTATATAAGTATCAAAAGCAATAGTTCTATTTCGAGTTGGTATTTTTATTAACAGTGTAATAAAATATCCTCTGTTTTATAGTGATGTTACTATGTTTATAATCAATATAATTTTAAAGATGTAGTATCATATTGCAATATCAAAGAAAAGGGCACATCAAAGAATATTTGTTTTTATCTGTTGAAATAATCATTTGTGTATTGTCTAATCTGTCATAATCTATATAAATATTGTCATTATAACATGAATGTATACATCATTAAATAAAAATGACATTTTGAAATGTGTCTCTTATAAAAGTTTTTAATTATTAATACCTCTATGAAAAGAACATGCATGAGCATATATGTAATATATAGGTTAAAATTATATATTAATGTCTATGATATTTATTGAATTTGCATGAGTTTATTTACAACTTATACTTATGATATTACATAAAAGTAACTATAATAGGTATCAACGTCATACATTTTATAAAATAGTCTTGTAGGTAATACACAGATATAGTTGCCTAGAATTTCATATTTACACTATTGATTTGAAAAAGCCAGCCATGAACTGCAAATATATACACAATTGAAAAATATATGTATA